ATGTGAAAGGTTTGACCTGAGAGGTCACAAGGAAATGGGACACATCGGCGGATGAGTGATACGAGAGCTGAAGAGTTGTGCTTCTGTTTAAATAATTCCAACGGTAGAAGTCAGAATTTCATTATGAAGTTAAGCCACCTGTCATTTTTTTGTTTGCTTGCAAGAAAGGAAGTAATGAAAAAAAATGTTAATAGCAAAATAAAACCACATCAAATAGCCTCTGTACCCAAAGCCTCATAAACAAGCATAACAATTACATTTCCAAAGAAAACTGATCAAATGTAAGGTCTTTTATTAGCTCTGTGGACATTGAATCAGCTTTTTAAAGAACGTCTGACAAGAAAAAGTTTATTCCCCCCAGGGTTTCCCTTACATAGGCGTAGCCGTGGTGGGCCGCCACGGCTGAAATCCCACCGCCACGCCTACAAGATCCCAAGTTTTATTTTATTCATTTTTTTGTGCTGTTTCCCGAAGAAGCAGCGGGAACTACTATGTTGTCGCTTGTGATCACAGCCGGCGGCAGCAAGGAGGAGCAGGCAGGGCAAGGTGAAGTTACAGCATAAGTTACTGAGTTTAAAATTAGAAAGGTAGCAGTGGATATAATGCTTTGTGGTTTACATGTTTCAGTAGCATTAAGATAAACGAGTGTTGACGATCTTGCCAGGTTTCCTCCCCCACCAGGCTAAGCATCACTTATTCATGTAAAATGTATTTATTTTTTCGTGTCTGACTTTAACCGCATCTAATACTGTATTACGGCGTGAACGCAACAGCGAGAACTTAAGATCGATGTGTGAGCAGCGTGAGAGGTCGGGTGTTTTCATCTGAACCCTTAAAACCTCCAGCAGGCTACGTTGCACTATTGACGTTTTAGCGCACGGCGCTAACAACTTAGCGAAGTGACATGTCTCGGAGAAAGCGTAAAAACACTTTGGACGCTTCTTCTGAAGTGGGAAAATAACACTTCTTAAGCAGAGCACGACGTCGCCTCGGCTGGTTCACCCTCTGCCGAGCCGGACTGATCTCGATAACATTGACCCAGCACAGCCACTGGGTCGTTGGAGCTGCCCCATGACTGCCTGATGGAAAACCAGCGGGTTTCATCAGACTCGTAAAGTTTCTTGTTTTTGCTGGGGACCCCCTGTATTTTACCGCTCCCTCCTGCAGTCTTCCCCTATTAAAATTTAAAATGATTCTGTAAATTCCGTGTATCAATAGAAAAAATCTCTGCCTCTGCCAGCTGCAGTAAATGTAGTTTCCAAATAATAAATAAGAGGTGCATTTATCTGTGTATCTCCTTCGATCCGCATTAGTGATATTTTCAGCACCAGAACAGTGAAGCAAAGAAACAGATTCCTGAGATTGTTAGTAATTTTATTTATTAGGTGCATCTAACCTGTTCTATTTTTCTCTGAAATGAGATCAAATCAGTGCTTCAATGGGTTGTTATTTAGAGACGTGTCATAATTTCTCTCCAGCCACCCCCCCCCCCCCCCCCCCCACCCCACCACCCCCACCCTCCACCCGGCCGGCCCCACCGTAACAGCTGGAAAAATTCCTAGGGGAAACACTGCCCCCATTAAAGCAAGTTTGTACATTCAATAGATCGCTCTCCTGCAATAAAAATTATGTCGATTACGTTCCGCCGACAATAAAGATGGATCTTCTCCATCTTTTTACAGGCAGTTTTTTTTTCTGTCTTTTCATTTAGTAAATGAGGAAAAATAAAGCCAGATGGAAGCTTTTAATCTCAGACTCAGATGAAAAGTTAGATGACAAATCGCCCAATGGAGTAGTTCATCGCTCTGACGACTTGGTGAGGGATGCTGATAAAACTGACACAGGAAATGGAGCCAAATCAAAGCTATAAACCACATGGTTGTCGATATGGTGAAGGACTGAGATAACATTTAACCTAACCCTGTAAATGGACACGTATGTTCCTGAAGAGAATGAAAAACGTGTGCCTTATTACTTTGGTTTGATTTGAACAAATTGTCATTAAATCTTTATTATTTTCACACATGTAGCAATTGATCCTTTTGACTAAGAGACATGGGTTTGGGAAATCATTATCTCTTTCAGAGACCTTTGTGTCAAACACATTCTATTGGATTATGGATTATTATAGATTAGTTTAGACCAGAGATCAGTCAAAATCACTGATGTCCTTTTTGCTTTTTCTGCTCAATAAAATTTGCCCAGAGTAAAAAAATAAAAACACATTAGAATCCTAAAATAAAGACAGTGTTTTACAAAGAACCATTAAAACTGGTCATATAATCATCAAATAACTATTATAAATTGTTAATATTTATTTTCACTAGAATCAAAGAAAAGAGCTAAATTTTGTTAAAAAGGTATAAAAATACTTTTTTTGTTTTGTTCTATTTTGAAAATTTTAACTCTAAACCATCATTTAAATAGTTCAATTATTAATATTTACCATTTTAAAAAAATAGATACTTAAAGAGCAAGTCACCCCCAAATCTACTCTTTTTTTTTTTGCTGATAATCTATAAAAACCAATGTCTAATTGGGCTGTAGGCACGTGTAGTCAATAATTTGACACTTTAGTGCATCTTAGGTAAAATTGAAATATTCTGCCTAAACTGTCAGTGTTGCGCCTTCTTCAAGTAAAAACTCTACACAGCATTTGAATTTAAATCTGTCATTATTGGCTAACAGGTACCCTATGATGTTAGCTGGTACCATATGATGTCACAGTGCCTTGTGAGCCTGTGTGTTTTTACAAGTGGCTCTACCCTCTTCTGCCAGGCAACACCATTTGTTGCTTTTTCAAACTGGAAGTGGGAGTTGTACAGAATGAAATGAATGTTTTTTTCCTCCTCTGCACTAGACTAGTCTGCATGAGATATAGTCTCAAGGTTTCATGCATTCCTTCTAACCTGCTTATTTTCAGCCCAACAGAAGAATGAAGAATAAACTATTTTCTTTTAATTAATCAAAGAACTCTATCTTAATAAAGCTAATCCATCAAAGTGTTAGTCAATAAATAAGATGTGACCGATCTGTGAAATCAAAATATTAATCACGTTATTATAATCCTATATAGAATACAAAGGTACTATGACTTTAAAATGTTCCAACAGGACTCATTTCACGTAGCGTTAAAAGACATAACACATTACTTTCACTGATCCAATCAGAATCTTACAGATCTGACGGAGGCGTGGTTTTGATGGTGATTGGTCATTTTTCATTCGACCATAAACCATAATATCCGAAGTATAAAACTAGGCCACGTCATCTCTAACGCCAGTTCAAAGCGTTCCAGAGAAAGTAACAGAGTGACCAATCCTGAACTTCTCTTCAACCAAAAGAACCAACGACAAGCTGACAAATTCATTGCTATTCAAACTGCTGCAACAGTTCCTTTCAGAATAAAAGCTGAACCATCAAGACCCAGGCTTGGGTCTCACCAGACGCCAACAAACTGCCGCGACCCGGAAGTAACTCAGACTGGACTGATCGGCAGCCGCTGCTTTTCTTACCACCTCGGTTTCTGAGAAGGTCAAGCTAGACCTCGACATTCCGGATCTAAAGGGGACTTCCTGACGGGTAGGTAGACCAGCAAATGGTGTCTCATGTGTTTATGAACCTCCTAACCAGGGGCGGATTTAGGACTGAAGAAGCTCCGGGGCTTAACACACGCGTGCGTGCACACACACACACACACACACACACACACACGCACGCACACACACACACACACACACACACACACACACGTGACACGCACTAGTCAACATCATATATATTTATCTTGTACCACATAAATTTTAATCTGAAGCTACATATTAAGCATTTTCAGGGCAGAGTATTGTTCCTGTTAGTATTTAGTGTGAGATGATGGTAAATATTCCCTTTCTTTCTCCAACAACTTTACCTGATAGTAAGCTAACTTTAGGCAAACCAGCAGCACAACAAGTATTTTCAAATAAGACTCACAAACCTGAGTCAACACCAGTTTCATCAAAGCTGGGGTTCTGTCGTTGTACTTTTTGTCTAAAAAACGTCCTTATGTCCATCTTCACTCATGCGTTTCAGGCAGAGACTGTAGAAGAAGCCAGCTGCTGAAAGGCTTCTTCTTCAGTGGTGGAGGCTCAGGCAGGCTGCCAGCTGCTCCATCTCTGTTGGACTTTGGTACTGCATGTTACTTCCACGTTTGAGATCCGAGGCTTTTCATAAAACATTCGGAGCTTGAGCCCAGGTAGCCGGGCCTAACGCCGCCCCTGCTCCTAACCAAAGCTTAACGCGAAGACATCACCTTCAGTTCCCATCAGAACAAATCGCTTCTTCGGATTTGCTGGTTCTGATTAACATCACACGTCATCCATTCACCGTCTCATCCACTTCAGTTACACGATACATTTAGTTTTAAAGTCAGTCTAGTTTAATTTGTTAGTAATAAAATTCTTAACTTTTAACTTGACTCTCTCTCCTCTGTTGTCTCTTGAGTGAACATGAAGCGGTTTCCTATTTCCTGCAATAAAAAGTTCCAATCTTATGGTTTAAATAACCTCACCGATCCGTAAGGTGGATTTCATATTTCCTATGGAATCCCACGCCTTATGACTCATTAAATGACCTGTAATTTAAATCATTACAGAGTGGAATGAGACTCTGGTAGGGGAGTGACTTGCTCTTTAAATCCAAATACATCATCATCAGATCATCATAACACTAGCCTCTTGGTTTCTGGTCACTTAAATCTAAATATTTTAGTGAAAATCCTCAGAACAATGCTGCAGGAAATAACCAATACCTGTGACTTGCAATTGCTGTGATCATATCATGATTTTAGGTTATTATGATCTGCAGCCCACAAGGTGCCATCAGATCTGTTCCCCATCCATCATTAATGTAAATCCTCAGAAACTATTGCATTTCTCATCATTTAGCACTTGTCAGGGAATAAAACGCAAATAAAAAATTGTTCCAAATCATGAAGAATGGTGTGACTTAATTACACTAACCTTTCCAGAGCTTTTCCCTGAATTGCTCATTTTGTGGTCATCCTGGACGTCCTTCTCTTGGTCCATGTTCAAGTTTCAGCGACCTTAAACAGAAGGTCATCATTTATCATACGATACATCGAGCTGACACAGAATACCCACGGGAGCACAAGAATCATTACACAACAGGGATGGGGAAGAGGAAATTTTCATAGGAGCTGCAGAGTAAAACATCAGTTGTAGAGGAAATGACACTATATGCTGGCAATGGTCAGTAGATGCTGGTACACACACACACACACACACACACACACACACACACACACACACAGGATTACAGAGGGATTACTCCTTACAAAGGCCCATCAAAAGGAGGAAAACAGTAAGAAGAGTTTTCAAACTTACAGACCCATGTCCTGAAAGAACATCTTAACCAGACTGAAGTGTTTCCTTTTACCCAATAACAGATCAGTATTGCACCATAGTGTGGGATTCCACCACAGCAGACCAGAGCAGCAGATCACAGAAAAAGCCTGAGCCTGCCACCTCCTGGCTGGTTACAACAGCCTCAGCACTAAAACACAAGCCCCAGATGTTTAAATGCATTCTAAAAACATATGTTCAAGCACAAAGTCTCACCAGGCTTCACACTGACATGCTTTCATTGTTTGCAGAAAAGAAAAATGATTGAAGGGTGTGTTTGTGTTCGAACTGCTGCACAGAACAGTATTCAGCCTTCCTCGATTTCCTCCTCCTGCACTGGAAAGCCTTTGGTTATCTTTAGGAAATTAAATGAGTCAAAGCACACTCATTAGCCTCCCTGATGGGATGCAATTAAAATCCAAGTAGGATTCTGAGTCACAGCAAGCAGAAATTAAACTTTCAGCTGTGGCGAGAGACCTTTTAGGAGGCTGCGCCATTTGATTCACTCAAGAGCGGAAATCCATCCATGGATGCACATTAAAACATCTTAATCATAGTAGCAACTATAACAACAATTCCTCCCAACAACACCATAAAACACTGTTAAACGATGTGTTGATCCTGCAGAATCCTGAGCTAAAAACTGAGCTAATTATTATCAGTGTTGGGACTAATGCGGTACAGAAGTAATTAATTACTGTAATGCATTGCTTTTTGTTGTAATGTGGTAATGTAAGGCATTACAGGGAAAGAAAATGGTAATATTTACTCGGTACAATTGTCAGTAACACAGTAATTACAATGCATTTTAAACCCAGAATCAAGATGCGTTTCTTAAAAATTCAAATTGCGGGAAACCTGAAAAAAGTTCCAGTATCTGCATATATTACGTCATTTATGGACTCAGCTTTGCAGGCAGAGAGGACGCAGCGGTACCGGCTCAAATACTCCAGCTGCGTCCTGCACACGGCCGCTGTAACATTCACAAAATCGCTCCACTAAAACAAAATAATTCACCTGTGATCGTTCATATCAGCGCATGTTCTCTGGTATTCTGTACTTTTCTGACGTGCTTTGCCTCATCTGAGTTAATCTGGGCCCCGGTGATTTTAACTCATTGCTGCTGGAGCACCGCGCATGTGAAGATTCCTTTGGCTGATGGTTAGAAAGTAGGAAGTCTAGGAAACGGTTTTTTCTGGAAGACGGAGAAAACATGCAGCATGCAGGCCGGTTAGAGAGAGAAAGGGCAGGAAATATTTCAAATAAAATCAAGAAAACAAAACAAAGGGCTTGAAAAGACAAAAAGTAGGTAGATGTATCCCCAATACACATTTTTACCAGTGAAAAGCAATAAATATATAAGCATTCAATATTTATACATGTGATAGAATCAGATCACCCCAGAAGCCAGTCCCACATCCAGGGCCGTATCAAGGCATTTGGGGACCAAGGCTAAATAGACTTGGAGCCCCCACCACCTCACTCCCTGCTCAGTTAATCTAAGATGGCAGCGTGCTGAGAGTACAGATTGTTGTTTCATTTATTTCATAAACAACCCTTCTAAAGATCTGTTTTTAACAGCAATCCTAGCTCAGACACCACATCACCTTCCACCGGATGTGTCATGAGTTCACCAGGCATCAGATTACCAAACTCATACTGAAGTTGTTTTGTTGAAAGTAACTTAGAGTAATGCAAAAGTAGTGTAATGCCTTACATTTTAAAATCAGTAATATTGTAATGTAATGAATTACTTTAAAATGAGGGTAACAAGTAATAAATAATGTATTACAGTTTTGAAGTAACTTGCCCAACACTGATTATTATGCAAAGTGAATGATTAACCTTAGATGTTCTCTGAAATTCGTCAGTGCTCTGTTTGCTCAACATGCAGCAGAGATTTGAAAAGTACTGGTCTTAGGATGTCTCTTTTTGCTGTAATCAGGATGTTATGCAACAGGTTCATCATTTGTTGCAAAATTGAGACTTCAAAGTCACAGATTTGGGGTTCCCTCATCACAGATTCTGTTTGTTCAAACTGTTTTTGCAGTTTGTTTTATGTGGTTTTGACTAAACTTTTATTCTACTGGTGTTTAAAAAAACAAACAAATACTAAAAAATGTGTAAATCAGAGCAAAATGTTGACAAGAAGAACTCGGTTGACATTTAATTGGAAAACGGCAGAGTTTTCAGCTGAACAGAAGAATTAAGTGAAATGCATTTGCTCACAAAGCAACTGTTAATGCATTTTAATAAGACTTTAAAATAACAACATGTTTTATTGAGAAATGCATTATTTTTAAACAAAAGCATCATTAAATCTCATCTAAAGGTTCAAACCTATTATCAGGTACGAGAGCAACAATTAAAACAATTAAATCCAGTTTGTTGAAGCTTTTATCATGTAAGGCTCAGAGGCAGCGTGAACTCTGTCACTGACTCTGTTTATTAGGATTATGGAAATGTGTGAAGCAATAAAACTAAAATAGTGCTAATATGACATGAAGTCAAAAGTTACAGTACTGGTCATAATGTTTAGTCGAATATATTTAACATATCTGGATTATTTTCACATCTATTTCTTATTATCTCTTGACATCCAGACAAAAGTCATGTTTTCCAACATTGCTTTGTTATTATATGACTTTGTTACACAAAAATACAAGATTGAGACTGACATTCTACCACAAACTAACAACAAAACTATAAAACCACACCAAAAATCCAAACCAACATTAAACCTTCAACAGAAATGTCGTCAACTCGTCAAAAAGTTGCAAAAACTCAGCTGGCGCAACCAAATGGTCATCGTAAACGTTAGAATTCACCAGGCTTTATCCAAATTCTAAGTATACCTGAATGAAGAATGCCCTCCTGCTTCAAAACTGTGTGGCCAGACGAGAGACTAAAAGTGGCACAGAGGCCCAACATGACAGTGATGACTTCATTGTATCTTATCGCAGATAAGAAAGGAAATTATTAACTTTCAGGAGTTCATTACTTGTTCTGAGGTGACTGTTACAGTCGAGTAAGCTATGTGGGAAAAGAAACATAAAACATAAAAACATATGATTGAAAAGCAAATGGTGATTGAATGATTTTGCTTGATGAACAAACTGTAACAGTCATTAAAGTGATAAAATCAATTAAATGTGCTCAGATTTAGAAACCATAAATGTGCTCTACTTCCTGAGCCTGGAAGAAAAATATTTGTTATTTTCTTAATATATACTGATACTAATTAAAACTGATAAATATAAATAACTGCATCAAACAGACTTGGTGAGATCATCCAAATAAAACAAAGTGGCATTTCAGACCAGACGAACAGGTGGAGCAGCAACTTGAAAGTGGTCCCATTTTTAAATAATTATCAATTAATGTATTCATCATAATTCTTTTGTCATAAACTCTTAAAGCAGTTTATAATTACACAAAATAAAAGCATTAAAACACCGCTGTATTCAGTTGAACAGCAGATTTATTAGAGTATTTACCTTTTCTGTGACATTTAGCCATCTGGCTGCCTATCGTCTCCTTCAAGAAGCAGATAGGCTCCTCCCACTTCCCAAGTGCCAAAACATTGGCTGTAACTACAGGTCAGAAGAGACTAAGACGCCATAAGTGCTTTAACTGATAGATTACATCAAGAGCACTTTCAAAATAAATGAGCAGCTAAATGAAAGTGAACAGGTTGTGTTAAGAACAGTAGACAAAGCTGTGACCACTGCTGCAAAACATAATTCACATATGAAAGTCAGAATGAATAAATGTTTGCAGTGGGATGCTAAAACTAATATTTCTTCTTTGCAAGTCTCAACTTTGCAAAAAAATAAATAAATAAACAGTTCTCCATTCAAACTGCAGTCAAACATGAGTGCAACAGCTGAATGTGAGTCATAACCTTGCCTTGCACAATATATAGAAGGTGACAGACAAAGGATGTGGACTTGTGAGGTCTGGAGAACCATGCTGGTAGAAACTGGAGTTTTTCTGCTTAACTTTGCTCAAAGCTCAAGGAACCAACTCCTTCACAAACCTTCCAGAGTGCAGAGAAGACCAGAGTACAGAAAGAACAAATCCCAGAATAGGAAACATTAAAAATGTTTCTGCTGTTGAGCTATTAGAGTCATCGAGTATCTTGTTACATAAAAAGCAGCTCAACAGCTTGTTCTTCTCGTTCTCCTCGGGCAGATTTTCACTAATCAATGACGGATCCGTTTTCCAAACCACAGCAATATCACAAACATGTGAGGCACGTTTCTGCATGAAAGCGTGCTGTCAGCATCTTATTGTAGCTGATGTTTGACAACCACAGGACATTGTTTGCATCGGACTGAGCAGCTTTCAATCTTTGTAGGAGCTGCTGTGGGAAAAGAGAACGGCCCAGTAATGAAACCCAAGCCTGAGAGCTGAACAGCCCCTTAGGGGGGTCTCTCCTCTGCCCTGGAGTCTAGGAAACACACATATTAACTTTCACTGTTTGTGGTCGACTTGTTTCACGGCTGGAGTGATCCAGCTGATACTGAAGAAGGCTGAAATCAACTGTTCTTCCTTTGTTTTACTTCATTTAAGCCACAATGTAGATGCATTGTATTTTCCTAAGCCCTTTTTTAAATGTGTTGTAACTAAAGCTACAGCGAGCACCTTTTTGGTGACAGAATCCTACAGAACTGCATGCTAACAACACCACTCACTCCTGTGCTTGGTGCATCCATGCCCGCTGACACAGTTCTACCAACACCCCAAAGTTCCTCCCACAGCCCATGTCCTAGATTTGTTTTATCTTCAGTAGTAATATAGTGAAAGGTCGGCAGCAGAGATAAACATTAGCCAGTTCAAGGAACTGTATTTCAAATTAAAACAACAAACAAACCTTAAACAAACCAAACTTACTGGCTCGTCTCTGGATTTTCTGGAGTTTTCCTGCAGAAAGTAAAGAGAAGCCGCTGTAGGCACATAATTGAGAGGGCACCGTTATCACATGAGAGCTTGCTGGCTAACTTCATTTACAGACTCTGAACATGAAGCACACGTGACTCAGAGTAACCTGGGTGTTGCTAACGGAGACCGCCTTTGTTTCAGATCAGTCAGTTATTTTGTGAAGATTAGCCAGCATCCTAGGCTGAAGCTGCCATTCTTACCTTCTGGATGCAACTTTTAATCACACATAACTAAAAAGAACACCAAGAACATGTTGCAGCATAAAAACATAAATTAGTGCATTATTCGTCTCACATAGAGAAAACTCTGTTCCAAGATTTTATTGTCTTAGTGAGAGTTTTCTCACAGTGAAGTTAAAAAAAGCTGCTCAGAACACAAGATTTTTTTAAACACTTTAAAATAAGGGTTCCTTTATTAATGTTAGTGCCTTATTAAGCATTAATAAACAAAGAGTCCCTTTATTAAGGCTAGTTATTTTTAACTGTGTCCTTAAGGTTAGGACAAAGGGTCAGGGGGGCAGTGTCTGCTTAGTAATGCATTACATAATGTTAAGAATGTATTATTTTATTTAATAATTTATTAATACTTAATAATGCACTAACATTAACAATAGGACCCCTATTGCCAAGTGTCACCGATTTTCTTTTCTACTTGCCTTCTTTGTCCTGCTGTTTTCTCCTTTAAAAGCCCAACTGTCCTTCAGTCATCAACAGGCACATCCAGGTTTCACTGCCAAGTGTTCATCAGGGAGGGAGGAATTAATCTTGTGTTTATCAGTCACTGTCTCCTCTGACTGGTAGGACACTGTGCAGAAACATTTAGAGAGAAATCCAACCCCTCTGACTGAACTTTACCTGATTTCCTGGCAGGGTTGGCTCCAGAAGTTGGGCAACAGTGAACACGAAGCTTGTTCAGATAGGGGCAAATGGCCCTCATCTTCAAATAAAATCAACAAAAGCGTAGTTTATTTTAGAAAGGTGTATTTGTCTGACTTTTAAATTTTATTGATCCGATTCATTCAAAGGGGATGAAAATGAAACAACAGAGTAAAATCGTTTTTTTTCTTTTGTTTTCATTTATTGACATTAAAATAAAAATACAGAACTAAATTGCTGCAAGCCAAAATGAAAAAGGGGACAGAAAGAAGAAAAACTTATGTTGTCTGCCCCTTTTAACTAAAATAACATTAATACAAATGAAATAATCATATGATTCTTAAAGAAATTGAACAATATAGTTCCTAGACCTGCTGGCCGACAAAATCTCAACCCATGAATTTGAGAAAAAAAGAAAAAAAAGAAAACAATTTACACAGAAAGAAGCATTAAGTTATAGATCTATATACATACATATATACACATACGAATACATACTAGGTTATTTTTTTTCCTTTCATCCCACCCACCCCCCACCCCCTCCCCAACCCAAAACACTTTTTACAAAAATAAAATCAGCGTTTATTAATTTATTCAAATTAGATCTTTAATTATATTCCTGATTTGGTTTTAATCTTTATCACTAATTTAAATTTCCATAATTGGGCTTCCCTTGAATTAATAAACATTTTGAATAAACTGGCCTTTAAAGGGACAATGTGTAGTTTTTACTGTTAATCTCTGGAAACATCCATCAAAATGTTGTTGAAAAGGAATTGAATGATGCTCAGCTGTTGAAAGATATTGGCGGATTCTTAACATATAATCATTAAAATCTGGTCTAAAATATATTAGAGACCTAAGTCTGAGGGTGACATCATATTAGATACCATGTTTCCTTCTACGAGAGCTCTTGAGGACAAAACACATTAACTCATTTGTAACAAACTGTTACAAAACTTTCACCATTCATAAACGTTGTTTTGCACGTTTACATCTTTACTCATTGCCAGTGATGAAGGGGGGGGGCCCTATCCCAATACTCGCACTTGCACCCTTGCGCCCTTCATTTGCGCGTTACCGGCCAGGGGTGCGAGTGCGTAAGGTGTCCCGATTCTCAAGTGCGGAAGTTGACTACACCCCCATTGCATCCTTAATCTGCACTTCACCCAAGTCTGCAGCGGTGCGGACGTCGAGCAACGGTATTACCCACAAGTCATTGCTGCAGGAGAAAAGGTTCAAGTTCCTTTTCTGAAAGTCTGTATTTTCTAATGAATTTAGTTAATTTTAGGACGATTGTTGATGCTCTAAAACTTTTAGACACAGCAGCAATAAATGTAAATGTATTTCAAATAACTGTTTGGCTGCTTGTTTAAAAGTTGTTAATAAAGCTTTTTGAAAAAGTATCACAGCGACCAGCATACCAGCATGCGTTGCAATCGATGACGCAATGCTCCCTGTCTCAATTTTGCAATTATTTGCACACTTGTGTACTACGCACTCAAAGCCTACTGCTCACTTTCTCCAAGTGCACTTTGCTGAAGTCTGCAGGGCGCAGTGTGAGTATTGAGATTGGGCCAGAGACTGATGTGCTTGTCATTTTGCTGAAGTTTGCACTCTCCAGGGCTTTTTGACCCTAATGGGCATCGACTGGTAATGTCTTACTTCAACACAAAAATACAGCTTGCAACAAATTAGGTATCTACTGCCCCTATTCCCTTGTTCAGGTTGTTCCATGGTTTTACATCGTGTACAATAATGCTCAATTCCTCAAATTTGGCTCCGAATTTAGGTTCCTTCAGATTACAGCTACTTGCTTTTCTTTAAAACATTCTCGGAATATTTGTTGTTAAAGTGTTTTTATGAGCTTTGTATAGTATTAGTAATATTTTCCAATCAGCTAAATCATGAAATTTCAGTGCTATATATTTGATAAATGATTGAGGTTAGAGAGGAATCATTATACCAATTATTATTAGTGATTATCAAAGCTCTTTTGTAAAATAAAGTTTGTGCATTAGTTCTTCATGTGGATCCCCACATTTTTTCACTGTGAGTATGAGACAATTATTGAGTTACAAGCTTAACAGCCCAGAAATATTCAGTAAAAACGACTAAACTAAACGTGCATTGTTTGGGAGACCTAAACCATGCCTCTTTCTGAAACTGTTAACATCCTAACCCAACACATGCTGCTTTAATTAGCTAACTCTTTTCCTTAATTCGGTCATGTTGAGTGGGAGATGGTGGTGAACCCATGTGTGGTGGAGCTGGACTGGAAAGCAGATCAGGTAAAAACAGCTTTGATGAATAACAGCAGGTAGGATGACACAAATTGGACCAGCGTAACATATCTCTATAATAACCTCTATAATTTACCTGACAGGATGTAAAGTGCTCAAGAGGATCAGATCACTCCACTTATCTTACTTAACAATAAAACTGAGGTTTATGATGGAGACTTTAGATTGTAAGAGTAAATGTTTTATCCATCAGTAATCAAACTCTAGCATTCATGTTTTTATTAGAGTAAATGTTTCAGGATTGTAAATGTCTGTGCCATTTACCAAGTGAAATAATTTCAGTTTTAAAGCATTAAAAACCTACAGTGATGCCTGACAATCCCCGTTTCAGGTATTTATACTTCTGTGGAAACCTGATTTAAGAAAAATTCACACCTTAGAGAAAGTGCATAAAAAGTTAATTTTATTACTAATGAACTACTTCCACCTTGGAAGCAGAAGCATAAAGAGAACATAAGTGAAACAGGCAAACACACAACATTACAAGACCTCTGAAAATTAAAAACAGCATTTTGATTGCAATTTCTGTTCTGATCTTATTCCCAGACAGGAAGAGTAGTGAATCAAAAAGGTAGAAACTTAGGACAGGAAGAAATAAACCCAACCCCTGACATTTGGGAAAACGGAAGGGATGTGCAGCTGAAACGAGTTACCGTTCCTGAGGAATGTAACCAACAGGTTTCATTACTTTTACATATTCTGCCCAATTAAAGGATGCATCGATCCCGACCACAGACGAGGAGAACTATGGAATGATTACATGATGCCTAGAAATCTGTTTGCGGGTCCATGAAGAGCAGTAAAAGAACTCATGGTTACATTGCACATTTCAGCTTCTTGCTGCCTTTTTTATTTTTATTTTTTAGTTAGGTTAGGAACATTCAAACAGTTTGTTGGAAGCCATAACAACATTTACAATTCAGATGTTTACAGAAAGCAGAGAACAACGTCGGGATGTTTAACAGTACAAAACCGAAGCTCAGATCCTACAGTAGTCCTTGTCCCTGGAGAAGTGAACGTTTGCCAGCAGCTCAGTATTTAACCGTCCACTGCTTGACACTGGCATCGTGGGAGGTGGTGACCAGAGTGTGCTCATCGATCCAAGCCAGGCCGCTGACGTGGTGCAAACGATGGGCGTCTGAGGAAAGGAAAGAAAGGATCTAGTTACAAAAGTCTGTCCTCACCAAATAAAAACAAAAAAAAATGTTTTTAAAGAATTGAACTAATTTTCCTTAACATTTACCCAACTGTGGTTCAATTATTACACTCTGACATTTTATGGTATAATTTGTGCAACAAACATTTAATAAATGTCTAATTTTATTTTTGAACTGCCTTGATGCACTATCTACACATTTGTGGGGGTTTTTTTTGTCAGATTTTTAGACAATTCTTCAAATCAGCTTATAAATAATCTACAAAGCAGTTTATTAGTTTAAAGCAGACGACATTTAGTGGTGAATAGAAAAACTGTTCCAGTTCACAGCAAATCCACAGGTTTGCAAATAGAAAACCAACTAAGGAGGGCTTTGTTGAAAAGGTCACAATTTTTTTGTTTATTTGTTAATAAATTATTAAAGGTACATCAAGTATATAATACGGTACACAGTCAACATTCGTGAAAAAGCTCTCTATACTAAAGGACCTAAAGCCAGGTTACAACCTCCATTACTATGGGGATCAATACAAAATAACATTTGCTATGAATGCTCTGAGGTAGGTTTCTAAGCATTTACAAAGACCAACTAGGTCTGGCGATGATCACCTTTTTATTTTTTAGCTCAACAATCTAACAAAGTTCAGCAAGATCTGCTTGCATTACGGCTAGAGCTGGGTACCAAAAGTCTTTAATGAGCAGCACAGCCCCGTTCCCTGCGACCGACGTCTCAGTCACACAGTCCCACTTTAATGTTTACGACTGCACTTCAGAGTAAGAAAATTAAGAAAAAGATTCTAAAGTGTTGACTACTTTTGTGAAAGTAAGCTGATGGCTCTCCCTTAGAGATGGGGTGAGAAGATCGGTCATTCAGGAGGGTTTAGGAGTAGATCTGCTGCTCCTCCACATCGAGAAGAGCCAGTTGAGGTGGCTAATGGCGCGTGGACACTAGTGTCTGCACGGTCGAGGTTTGGTCAGGCTGGATGGTGTGAGTTCGGTCTCGAACGGGTGGTGTAGTGTTCACATATAAATCAGGGGGACTTCTCAGGAATGCGGAAATCCCTGAGCGGCGCTTAATACGCGCGGGAAAGTCCGCTCAATAAGGTAAACAAAAGGCAGACATGAGCTGTGTTGCTTTTGGCGACTCTGAACCACATTATTTTATGAATTTGCTGTGTGTGTCCTCATAATCTTTTCACACACCCACACCTATTGTCCTCTCCCATTCCCACAGTTTGGCAGCTCTGGAACAGCAGCTCTGTGCTACAGACAGAAGTTTACTCAACAGCATCCAGCATGAAAATTCATCAATTCAATTCAAAAATACTTTATTAATCCCAGAGGGAAATTGATTTCACATCACAAATTGATCACACATGCGAGAACACCCCCCCCCCCCCCCCCACCGCTGGCTCATTCTTCTCGCAGATCAGAGGCAGTAGGCCAATCAGTCTGTAGTGTCGCCTCGGTCCCAGTCTGACCGCTGGGGAGAAGGTCTGAGAAACCGTCGCCTCGGCACCAAAAACGCAAACCTGACCTGTGAGTGAAACCAAATTTCGGTGCAGATCGATACCTTTTGGGGCCGTGTCGATACTAATGTGTAAGCGCCATTAGGTATCTGGTTAGGATGCCTCCTTGATGCCTTCCTAGTGGGGGGTTTAATGTCCAACCAGGAGGTTTTGTTTCTCCCTTCTTACAAATTTGACTTTAACATAGGTACCAGAAAACCTGATTTCATTCATTCTGTAGGTAGCCAGCCCTAGCTGTTGCAGGTATCAGATTATTTACCCATCTCCACTTGGATGTCAGAGACCCTAGCATGTTTGTGTCACTAACCAGGAAGCTTGATCCTCTGGTCAGGATCACTGACTGTCCAGATGTACACCATCATGTCCATCCCACCAGTTGCAAAGTGCTCATTATCAGGCGACCACGCCAAAGTAACTGGTTTGGCATGATGTCCGTAGAACTCATTCTTCACCTGAATGAAGGAAAAATATTTAGAATAACAAACTGGATTCGGAACAATCCACACAAAGGATATAAAAAAAGGATATTTACTGAATATCCATCTGCCACAATGAAGACTTTGGCAACTTTCTTCTCATCAAGGACAGCCAGATAGGCTCCATCGTTCGAGTAGGCCATGTCGGTGATGGGCCCTGTGGCCTCGAGAGTTTTTCCTTCATCCTTCAAAGTGTTGCCCTGAACAGAGTACAGGTGGACCTTCCCGTCCTAACAACAAAAAGCACACCTCTGAAATGTTTCCATGAAGAGGAAAGAGTAAGAATGGCACCGTCAGATTCCTGTCAGGAAAATGTTTGCCTTCAGAAATCCACTTACAGCCCCCCCCACAGCGGCAGTGGTGCCCCCAGGATGGACGACTCCAACCTCGGGTTCATAACCAAGATTGTCCAATGTGAAGACTTTCTTCTTGTCCTTTAGCAAAACCACCTAAGGCGAAAAATAAAACTATGTCATTTTGTAGTAAAAACATTCAATCTTACCAAGACTTTCAGGGTTTCAGATAAAACAACCAAGGCAAGATCTTACCTGGCCGATGCACACGGCCAGAGAGAGCCCTCCCACTGAGGTGGACACACTCTTGGGCTGAAAATCCATCTTCACCACATCAGAGGCACTGAAAACCAAGGCAAGGATCGTTAGTGAGGAGAAAAGGAGCTCAGCAACTAAGGTTTGATAAACGGTTTTCTAAAAGCCAATATTGAACTTCAATTCCTCTGGCAGCTGTGCCAACAGAAAAACTGATTTATCCCTCTGTTGGTAATCCTCGTCATTATGCATACCTGTACTCCTTCTTTGTGAGATCTGTGAAACGCAGCGTATCATCCATGCTGCACGTCACCAGATGTCCGGCTTGGTCGGTCACCATCTTGCTCACCTGGTTGCCGTGACCTTTCCCTGAGAAGCAGCCGTTCTGTCCGGTTTCTGCATCCCAGTAATGTGAGGCAGATGTTGAGGAAAACAATATTTGAAGAAAGAACATTTTAGATTTGGTTAAGCTATAAACACGTTGGGATAAACCCAATTACGAAGCACATGTGTAGAAAACTGATCCAGGTGGGAAAAGCCACACGGCTCAGTCAAAAGCATGAGTCTAAATAGTTTCATCTGAAATTCGTATTACAAAGCCCGCTCCAAACAGGAGATTTGCAAATGCCCCCAACATGAGCAGGCATCTTTGAATATGATCAATTTATCTGACTGGAGAGTGAAACTAAGGATTAATCTGCATGTTGCAGCAAAAACGGAAGAAAAATAACTCAGTGTGCTAGTTCTTAGCACTGAACCCTAACAGCAGATGTTTGAGCAATACAGTCTCTAATCCGCACACCTGTCCCATGAAGCATCAGGCTTCAGTGAAACAGCAGAACTACCTGACTTCAGAACCATGCTGCAGCATAAAGTAACACCAGAATAATCTTAATTTGCATTCACCTGACACGGTCAGACTCCTAAATGCCAAACAGAGCAGAGCAGCATTCCTTGCTGTCAGTGTGGTTGGTGAAGTTAATGGCTGGTAAATATTTGATTTTCCTCCATGTGAATTAGAGATTGAGAGGATCCATCAAGGGCAAATTATCAGGATCAGAATTATTTATTTATTTATTATTTATTTATTTATTTATTTTAAACACACCTGAAGACTCTCATATCTGAGCACTAAGACAAAAACTCGAAGCATCAGGGTGGAACTGAATAAGGACAGGGTGCAGAAGTCTTTCAGTGCATGCTTAGATGGAAATGAGGTGACCAGGACCAACGTACGAGGAATGATGCTGCTGAAACGTGAATTTTGTAGTGTGAAAAATTACATCATGGGAGATAAGTGAGCTGTGGGCTAAATGAGTTTTAATCCAGAGAACAGGAGTTTCAGTGGACAGATCAATGTTTCTGTGGTTTTTACTCCTATGTGTACAAATCTGTGATAGGTACTTTCTTATATATTCCTTTTTAACAGCCATAAAACGACTTTACTCCACATAATTCATATGAGATTATTCAGGATTACCTTATTACATTTTTGCAGCTTGTGTATGCTGAACATTTAGATAGCACCTTCGTTCCACAGAGACCTTTACATAACACGTCCTATAAAAGGATATTGATGTGACCATCGTGACTTCCTGAGTAGATGTACGATCGGCCTTCACTTTTGTGAACCGTCACACACTGGATGGACTTTGTGTGACCCTGAAAGAAAAAAAATGCATTTTTTTTCTACTCATGTGAAACAAATCTGGCTTTGTGTAAAAAATACCCACCACCAAGGAAGGACATTCCAGAGTAACTATCAATTTTGCTAAAAGCAAAAAGTCAATATTTACCTTTGTTCTACTGTTGCTGCAAAAAACTATTTTGCTTAACTAATCTACAGACTGAGTCAGTTTCCATTTATAAGTATCGGAACCTAAATAAATCTATATTCACTGTTATTTTAAGGTCCATTTAAAATAAATGTAGTGCAGCTTTAGAGGGAAAGTTTGTTACAACTTCTCTGGGTAACATTAGTGATGTGGTGGTGATATAGTTTCCCCCAAAACTTCCCAAAAAGCAGATTTTTAAGCTTCAGTCAGACCTTGACTGTGCGTAGGGGTCGATCAGGGTTGTTCTTGTCCAGGTAATTGATGTAACCAGACAAAGAGATGCTGATGAGGTGGTCTTTCTGCCACAGACAGCCCAGCTGCTGGTCGGTCACCTCAGAGCCCAGGTTGAAGGTGGTGACAGCCGTAGCTGCACCCACATCCCACAGCTTCACCGTCTTATCCCCGGAGGCAGAGATCAGCTGGGAGCTGTCAGGGCTCCAGCTGACCTGAAGGACAACGAGCAGAAACGTTACACTTCATTTCAAAAATAAGTTTGGCTTCTTTTAAAAAAAATGACATTTGAATAGTATGTAAATGTTTTAAGCAAACTCTGACAGAACCATATGTAGTTTCAGGAAACAAATCTCTGGTTTCATTAGGGAAATAAGCCTTCTTTCCTGTTTTCACAAACCAGGCAGACTTCTCACAAAACAACCCAGACACCAAACCAAATCAGGCCGGTCAGGTGACCGGGAGGTTTTGGTTGAGGGATCATTTGTCCACAGTCTGATGTCGCCGATACTCACCGCGTAGATTCCTCCTTTGTGGGCCTTCTCTCCTCCCAGAGATCCAATGAGTTCACCCTTTGATCCATCATAGACAAATATCTGGAGATCAGAATACAAAATCAGAAATCAGGAATTAGTGTTTAGTTTCAGGCAATCGCAGGAAAAAAATACAACAGCTTTCCAAACCCATGTTTGATCAAGAAAAAATGGCACCGCTGTCAGAGTAAATCTGTTCCAATCAACATTTACACCAGAACAGAAACATTAATGCTGACACTTAAAATGTGTAGATTTACCGGATATAAATGTAATGAAACACTCCCACCCCCCTTTTATATGAAAAACTGTCCATGCACAAGAGCCTTCACATGGATATCCAAGTAAATGTAAATTTACTTGGATATCCATGTAAACTTTGCTTGGCAAGATTTAAAAAATAAAATAAAAGTAAAACTGAAGTCTACCCCTTCCTATGTCATGGTGGTAACATACTCCTCACTCTGAACCCCTGCAGCCTACTTTAACTTCTGTTTAGCGTCGGACCATTTGCTAGACTCGCTACTTCTGTAAAGCTGCACATGTGCAGTCTTTACTTCCTTCCCCAGCTACATTTAAACACAAGTTCTGGTTTTCTTCTCCTTTTGCTAAATGCTTGGTTCTTTTGCCAAATACGTTCCCATTTTCTTCATGCTCAGACCCAGGTTGAAATTTTTAAAGGAGAATTTTGAATCTAAGTATTTATGTTTTATCTTTTTATTCTAATTTTTACTCCTGTAATGAAAGTCACTGCTGCCGAGACCATAATATCCCCACTGAAGGTGAATAGATTTTCTATACCATTTCTATTCTATTTTCTATCTGTATCCTTCAATGGCGAACAGACTGAGCAACTGAAATCTCGATTTCGGAGTTTCAAAGTCGGCAAATAGATTGAATAAAAATATTTACAGTTTGTTAGAGACTGAGGAGAGAAAGGCTTAAGACAGAAACACTGGTAACACGGACGCTAATGACTAAACAGACATCCCACGGACGAGCAGTGTTGGGAGTAACGGCATTTAAGTATAACGGCGTTCTTTTTTTAGGTAACTGAATAATCCAATTACTTTTCCCACTGTTGCAACACCGTTACAGTTACTGGGGACGGAAGGTTGTGCGTTACTATGTGCTTGTCGAACGTTGAGCAACAGTGAGAGGCTTTCTGACCGCCACACTTCAGCTGCAGCCAGGGAGAGAGAGGTGTCGGTAAACACACTTACAAACACGATGATTGGCCGGGTGGGCGGAGACCCTCAGTGTTCTCACTGTCACCGCATGCTATAGACACAACAGAGCAGTGATGGGAATAACACCTATTAAAATAACCGCTTTACTAAAAAGGTAAAAAATAACATTTCAGAAACGAGCAATCTAATTAATTACCGTCTTCTTTTATCAAAACGTCGTTTCTTTTACTGATAAGAAAATGCATGCGTTAAGCAGCGCAGTGTGTTGAAGCTGCCATCAGCTGATCAGGAGCTAAAGAGGCAGATGTTTTCATCCAAGCGCATCACGGCCGTGAAGAACGAGGAAGACGTGATGAATATCTACGGCTGCAGGTGTGGATCTGCAGCCGTGCCCTTCTTAGCGTGACAGCGGGACGTCCTGAAGGTCCGCTCACCTGTTCACCACCCAGACGTCCTGATCTTCTACCTTCCGAGATCATCCAGCTGTAACCTGTTTCTGATCATGTCTTTAGTCCCGCTGTAACACTGATGCATCAGCCTCAAACGTCATGGAGCTCAGGTGTCATCAGAACTAACGGTGTGTGTGTTTACCACCCAGCTTCAGCTCTTCTGTGGTTGGGTCTGACCCAAGTTAGTAAATGTAAGTCCTCCATCAGGCTTGTGCCTCTTCTAGTGCCAATTTATTTAACCTTTACTAGATTACCAGCAACAGAAATGCTGCTAAAAAACACACAATTATGCGAAGCTGGAAAAATTAAAATGCTGTGCAAAATTACATTTATTTCTGTAATTTAACTAGACTGAGAGACCATGTAAAGGCTCGGGAACCTTTACAGGTGTTTCTATTTGCAAATTTAAAATTTAGCTGATTGGAGTCTTGTTAAATATCACTGTGTGATATTTTAATAGTCTAGATTAGTGTAACGTTCCTGTTAGTAGTTCCTCCTGTTAAGTGCTTATTTATTTAAATTATTCAGGTTTATAAAAACATTTGGACATACATTTTATTATGTTCCAGTCATTAGTCATTTATACTTCACTATTGTAGTAATTTAAAGTAAATTAAGTTTAATTAAGAGGGGAACGCATTTTTCTTGCGTTCTTTAATGAAAAAAGTAACTTATTTTTCTTGGTAGTTACCTTTATAATCTCGTAACTCTGTAAGTAACCGAATTACTTTTCTGACAAAGCAATCAGTAACTATAACTAATTACTTTTTAAAAGTAACGTTCCCAACACTGCCGACGAGCGATTGAGATTCCAATTCCTCGTTTCGGTTCCGGTTCCTATCGACTCCCGATTCAGATTCGGTTCCGGTTCCTATCGACTCCCGATTCAGATTCTTTGAAGACATGACACGAGCCAGCTAACCACAGGTCCTACTTGATGAAATAATCGTAACTTCAACATGAATTCTAATTCTATGAACAACAGCATCACCTTCATTTAGACAGTAACATGTTTTGGAGAAAAAAAGAAAAAGACTTGCAGCACAACCACTGTGTTTGTTTCTGACCACAACCAAAGTCTGGAAGCAGCCTCTGGGATGAGAGGCTAAATGTCTCCAACATATCCAGAAACGTCCAGCTGTTTTCAGCTAAAACTCTCAGGATGATCATGTCCAGGATGACTGAGAACTACACCTCCATGCTGCAGCAGCATTCAGTCAGAACAGAAAGTGAAACTTAAATGTAGCTGCTGTCAGTAACAATCTAACAGATTTTAAACATTAAAACTCAACAGAAATAGTCCAGAAAGGAAATTAAAATGTTCACTACTTTGTGTGTGATTTATTATTATTATTATTTATTGTGGCAGAAGCTGGTGTGGTCCACAACAGAAAAGCTTCTCTAGCATGATGACTAATTATTCTACAGGTGTAATTATTCTCACGCGTCTGACTGCTGACGCTCCGTGTGTGTGTTTATTTTTTCTGCAGCGAAACAAAATCACCTCACACCGTCCAGAGTTTGTTTTTAACAAGTTTCCTCTACGCTGCAGGAATTAAAGTTTACATTACGGAGTAAAAGTTCGGCAGACGCGTTTGTTTATATCTGGGTGGGGGGAGGGGGATCTGCACACAGACAGCTGGTGTGATCAGCTCTGAAAAGCGTTGATCACAATTTGCGGATCCCGTTTATTTTTCACGGAGATCGGCCGCGGATTCCTCTTCCATCGATATTCTAGAAATCGAAACTAGGAATCGAAATAAAAAACGTTCAGCGATTCCGGGAAAAATGAACAGTTGGAACCGGTTCCAATCGATGCTCAACCCTACAAAGCAATATGGGATTTGTAGTCTTTGCGGCAAAATGGTCCAGCAGGCCAGTTTTAATATATATTTTATACGATCTTGCGTGCCAAATACAAACAGACCGCAGACCACACTTGGCCTGAGGGCCTGAATTTGACACCTGTTCATTAGAATAAAGATGGACACTCCGCTTGTCTAAAGCTTTTAATAAAACACCAAACACGTGCTTGTAGGACAGTGAAATGAGCTCATTAAAGGGCCATGTGCTTTTTAAATTACCCAAACAGCTGTAACAGCTGACCTTTATTAGAAACAATTACATTCCCACATTTATCATTGATACTCACCTGGCCGTCAGCACCAGCTGTGACGAATCGACTTCCATCTGGAGAGAAACGGACGCAGTTGACAAACTGGCTGTGGTCCTGCAGTAGGCAAGAAAAACCAGAGCAATTATCCCCAAGCACATTATACTTTTAATTATAGAGCACAAAAGTGCACTAGTTGATGCATTTGTTATGTCAAGACTGGATTATTGTAATAAATTACCATCAGGAAGTCCATAAAATGTAGATGCAAGTCTTCAGCTAGTCCAAAATAATGCAGCTGGAGTTCTGATAGTTAATGAGAGATCATATCTCTCCTGTCTTAGCTTCCCTACAATGGCTGCCTATTAAATTCAGAATAGATTTTAAGATCCTCCTCACATATAAAGCTCTTAATAATCAAGCTCCATCATTATTCCATATGTTCCTAGCAGAGCACTTCACTATCACTATCACTATCACTGGTGGTTTCTAGAATATCTAAAAATAGGATGGGAGGCAGATCTTCTATTCATCAGGCTCCTCTCCAGTGGAACTTGCTCCCAGCTTTAGTCCATGAGGCAGACACCTTGTCTACTTTTAAAACTTTGATAGAACTTATGGGTCAATTCTGAGTGATGTTAGCCCATGTTTGGATAAGTGGGGGAGTAGAGGGAGGTGGAGTGTACGGCGAAGAATACGGTTGGTAAAGAGTTCTCCCTTGCCTTGCCTCCCACATGCCTAAAAGGCTAGGTTATCCAGGGTTATTTTTGTAGTTATGCTGCCATAGAAACACTACTTGGTTTGATGTGCGCTCCGTCTTCTTAAACCCCAGTTAGTCACGGCATATGGCTAATCATGCTAAGCCAGGTTCTGCAGTAGGTTTATTGTTAAAGGGGAGTTTTCCTCTCCACTGTCGTTACATGCTTGCTTAGTATAAAATTGCTGTAAATTCTGACACAACAAGTCAGTGACTCAATGAAATCTGCTGGATTCCTTTCATGGGAAGCTTAATTGGCATAAACCAAACTCAATTGGAACTTTACTTTGAGAACTGCCTTTAGATGACTTGTTGTGATTTGGCGCTATATGAATAAGCTGAATTGAACAAATCAATTAAAATATTGCAATTATCATATTTTGTATTTATGCTGTACTAAGTAAATTTGTATATTAAAATGTGGACAGATGATTGTCAAACTTGAAGGAAATATAATTGAACTTCAGTTTTTCCAACACACGAGCACTGAAAATTGAATACTCTGGATAATATGTTGAAGATCGGACTTTATCAAGAAATTGAATTCAATTCAAAGGTACTTTATTAATCCCAGAGGGAAATTAGAGTTTCAGTACACACAATTCTGAGATCAGACATACATACATAGACATAGACACATGACAAAATTGGTGACTGTGGTCATTCGCAAACCGAGTTGCGCTACCTTAATAGAAGTCAGAGGGTTTATATGAGGATTGAGTCAGGTGGACGAGAAAAAGGCCCTTCAGAGTTACCCTCCACAGGGAGAGCAGCTTTGCTATGCAAAAAACACCTCAGACAGAAATGCAACAGACTTCAGACATTACACAACATAAGTGTCCACTAGGTGGGAAGGTAGGGTTGGGACTCTCCTCACATCAGTGCATGCAGCCACAATGAGCAGCGCTCGTCACCTCGGTTTGGACAGGGGAGGGAGGTAGTTGGGTTAGAGAGCACAGTGACTCCTGGAAATGGTTCCACAGCCTTCACCGGTCACAGTCCCGCCCAGGCTGGGATAGGGAGACAGAGTTGCCATGGCAACGGCAGCATTCCACATTTCTTCTGAGGGCGCGTAATCACTTCAGCCTCACAGGCTCACGAGCACCAGATTCAGATAAGAAATTGTTTTGGGGACAGATAGAGATAATTTCCTCTCTGCCTTAAAATTCTGTTGGTCTCCAACCCCTCTTGATCCAATAATGGAGTAAATTAATCTATTCCCAACCGTGCTGTCCCGTCCATTCGCTCCTTGATCGAATCAACCTTCTGTGCCAGAGCCTGAATCTCAGCCATAGTTCCAAGCTTATGACTCATCGACAATTATATGAGTTTGTGCATTCACAGCGCGGTGTAATCCATCCCTGAGCTCCGGGATTGAGCCAATATTCCTCGAAAGCTCATTAATTTTCCGGTAAGTCAGGTAACCGCTCAAGCCAAAAAGCAGGAATCCCGACACCAACACCACGAATATCCAGACGTCTTCAGAATCCTCTACAGACAGTTGAGAGAGGCAGATCAGGTTCCACTGTTTCCAGGAGTCCATGATATGCCCAGCTGGCTCTGTCCCAGAGGGGCATCTGGGAGCCCCTTCTCCCATTCTCATTGTTGAAAAAATTGTCAATCGTGTTGAGAGACCACTGAAATCCTAATAACCTGCACTTTCTGGGCTCACGTTAATTTTAATTCTTCCAGACCGTTCTTCGTTCAAAATATGACAAAAATTAATATAGAGCCTATTTTTTATCTCCACAACATTCAGTTTTTTTATAAATAAACATAAAACTAAAAATGTCTACAAAAAGATAAATGTGACATTTCAGGAGAAGTCCGCTTTGAAGAGTTTAACTCAAATTCCACAAGGATTTATGGGGGAAGTAGATTATATAATATGGAAACAAAGCAACACTGTCAAGAACCGACTCAGGCCCTGTCCACACGAAGCCGGGGATCTGCCAAAACGTAGATATTTTTCTACGTTTTGGCCTGTCATCCACACGAAAACTGAGTTTTTTCACACGAAAACAGCTCTTTTTAAAAACTCCGGCCAAAGTGAAGATCAGCGTTTTCTCCGTTTTGGGTGTCTGCGTGTGGACGGACAAAACCGGAGTTTTAAGGTCCGCGACGTCACTTTCCACGACAAAAAAATGCTGACATCACGTGTGCGACCTGTGTTTACACTAGCCGACATCATGGATGCCCTCAGAGCTGCGCTCGCTTTATCAATTGTCCAAGCGCTTTTTGCTTGTTTGTTTTTGCAAGCGGAATTACTGCTCCTTGCGGAAGACCACAGACGAAGGACGAGGTTAAGAACGGGGGAAGTACTGCCGCCTACAGGTCTGGCATGTCCTTAACAACGGATTTATCCGGGTACGTGTGGACAGAGTTTCTTTTTTAAAACGAGGTGGTGTGGATGCAAGTTTTTGGAGGGGCGGATATTCGTTTTTAAAAAAAAAAACGGCTACGTGTGGACTAGGCCTTAGTCAGGCCACCAGCTCAGAGTTACTGAAAGCCTTAAAGAGAAACAAATACCCATGTTTGCTGCTTATTTTCTTACTAATAAGAATTTAAGACAAAAATGACCTCCTGTTTTTAACTGGAGGATTTATACCAGAGCAGAAAAAAAGTGGCATCCATTAAATCACAATACGCTTTACTAAAGCACTGCAGATCCAACGTACCCTTAATGTGAATTTGAACTTGAAGGGAGGTCCCTCAAAAAAGGATCCACAGGTGTCATCACTGGCGAGAGCGAGGCGGTAAGGGCGTTTCTGTTTGATGTCTACGCTGTTGATTAATTTTGAATGGCCAGAGAGGTCTCCCACCGAAGAGCCCGAGTCCCACAGGAACACAACACCAAACCTGTAACCAAAGACAACGCATCTCAATTTGTACAATTTGATGAGTTCAGGTAACAGGTTTTACTTAAGAGGCTGGATTAAAAAGAAAAATATCTGCGGGAATTCACCTATTGCCCACCACATAAATTAAGATTATTAATGCTTACTTCTCTCGCCCGTCACCAACTACAGCAATCCTCTTGCTGTCCTCTGTCCATGCGATGTCCTTGATCTTCCCTGAAAGAGGGGTGTACTCGTACTTGAGTAGGTGCTCCTTCTGGGTGGTGTCCCAGATACGCAACTTTCCTGATGCATCTGCAGAGTTTAATGATAAAAGGTTTTAACGAAATGCTGCCACTCCAGCGCCAAGCATGAATTTTACATGTGTTCCGACATCTCCTCTACCTCCAGATGCAATGTAGAAACCACTGGGGGCGTACTTGGCCACAGTAACTTGATGAGCATGCTCGGTGTAAATGTCTGCAATAGCTGGGTTCTTCAGAGACACACAAAAATTTAAAATACATGAAATATTAGGAAGTTAATGAAAAGGAATTCTTCTAAAAACACACATAGCTCAGTGAAATTTCAGGATCTTTGAAGGAAAAATGTAAAGTTTCAGAATGAGCAGAGGAAGTTTACCTTTGCTGGTAGCTTATATTATTCATAAAACTAGTGTGAATAGTAAAATGTTAGAATACGTTTCAGAATAGGATTAAATGAAAACAAAAGCTGACACAGCTTAAAGGTTCATTGACTCTTAAATAAATGTGCTGGTCTCTAGAATGAATGAATGAATGCCTTGAGAGTCATTTTCTATAGGAAAAACTGCCCTGGCGCTCCTGTTTCAGATGTAGAAGTTTGTCAGACAGCTGGGGGCAGGATCACGAGTCTTACTCATTAATATTCATGATATGCAAAAATCTGCTCTTATTGGCTGACAGCAACACTACTCTTCCACTGCCTTTACTCACTTTTCTTTTTCAGGTTAAAAAAAAAAAAAACACAAGGTTGATGTTTTATCTCCACAAATTAGCCTGAACATATTCTGCCATGTTCGCAACAGAGTGTGAAGCAGCTGGGATGAGAATGAGAATCAGCTCCTCTAAATCTGAGACCATGGTCTTGAATCGGAAAAGGGTAGAATGCCTTCTCTGGGTCAGGGACCAGGTCCTGCCTCAAGTGCAGGAGTTTAAGTAACTCGGGGTCTTGTTCACGAGTGAGGGAAAGCTGGAGCACAAGATCAACAAGCAGATTGGTGCTGTGTCTGCAGTGATGCAAGCGTTGTACCGATCTGTCGTGGTGAAAAGAGAGCTGAGCCGCAAAGGTCTAGATTTATCGGTCGATCTACGTTCTACCCTCACCTATGGCCATGAGCTTTGGGTAGTGACCGAAAGAATGAGATTGCAGATACAAGCGGCCGAAATGAGTTTTCTCCACAGGGTGGCTGGGCTCTCCCTTGGAGATAGGGTGAGAAAATCGGTCATCTGGGAGGGACTCAGAGTAGACCCGCAGCTCCCTCTCACCGAGAACATCTGATTAGAATGCTTCTTGGACGCCTTCCTGCTGAGGTTATCCGGGCATGTCCAACTAGGAGGAGACCTAAAGGGAGGCCCAGGACACACTGGAGAGAATATGTCAATCGGCTGGCCAAGGAACGCCTTGGAATTCCCCCAGAAGAGCTGGCCCAAGTGGCTGGGGAGAGGAAAGTCTGGTCCCCACGACTTGACTCCGGATAAGTGGAAGAAGATGGAAGACTGGATGGATGTTCGGCCATGTTATGGAGCTGCTATTGCTGACAGTTAACTTTTACTAGCCAAGACATGATCAGCTCTCTCCTGGCTACAAAAGTCAATACACCCTGTCGCGAGCCAAGGTGGGCCCAGTCATGAACGCCAACTTTCTGTGATATATAAGAGATTGGATTTTGGGACGCATTTGTTTTCCCATCCATTTCCTTTGTGCGGCTAATGCAGGTGATGGGGCTGAAGAAATGTTTCACGTTTAGCATGCATATGTGACCGATCATACATCAAAAAGTATTATTTGGTTTCCTTAAAAAACAAGAGCTGTAAAAGTAAGTCTCTGGTAGAGTGAGCCCTGTAATTAGAGTGTTGCTGGTTTAAACTCAAAAACTGCCCATGTCAGTCGTGCCTTGGGCAAGACTTTTCACTCTCCTCACCTGCTAGTGGTGGATGGAGGGATTGTGTCGCAGCTACTCTTCTGTCAGTGTTCCCCAGGGCAGCTGTGGCTACAAAGTAGCTCATCACCATCCACAAGTGAATAACTGTACTGTAAAGTAGGGCCTGACCGATATATCGGCCAGCAGATATTATCGGCCGATATTGGGGTCATTAACAGCATCGGCCATATCGGCCTAAAAGACGGCCGATATTGCGCTACCTATCCAGCAGATGGCGCCAGCTTTATGAACTCATGTTGTGTGGCTCCACTCCTTCGAACACAAATGATTGAGCTTTTTTTTTATTTATTCTTATTTATGTTTCTTATGTGCAATTATTTCCTGTCCAAGGTGAATAAGTTCACCAAGTTAACTTCCACAGAGTGTTACTTTGTTACAAAGCACAAGTATTATGTTTTATTTATTGCTGCATTTTTATTATTTTAATATTCTTATAGGGATCTTCTGTTCCTAAACTTGTGTGTGTTGTTAAATTCCCCAGAGTTAGCCAAGTCAGAAAAACATTTTGTAACAAGTTGTTTTAGCATAAAGCAATGGAAGGGAAGGATTGCATTCACCTACATAAAAAACACTACAATGTATGTGAATTCACTGACACTGTTTTATGCTAAACTAAGAAAACCAACTGCTGCCAGATCATATTGGGCTGGTTATAAAATGCTTTTGCTGACTTGTCTAACTCTGGGGAATCTTAACAAGACACAATTTTACTGAGTGGTGGAATATTCCTTTAAGTTAAAATGTATTTGTGGAAACCAGTTTACAAGAAAAAACTTGAATGTTAGATTTATGCTGTGACTGAGTTTGTGTGTTCTGTTGCTTTTTAGATCTGCTAAATAAATCTTATTTATATTACTTGGAAACCCAAGTGAGTTATTGAGACAGTTCTTTGGTGTGTAATAGAGAAATAAGTTTGCATCAAAAAGGCAGAGAATGCAGGGTTTAAGCTTAAGAAAATTTTTATTTCTTTTTTTTTTTTTTGTGAGGGAGATTTATCGGCTATCGGCCTTTGTTAAAAGTTTTGTATCGGTATCGGACCCAAAAAAAGCAGATCGGTCGGGCCCCACTGTAAAGTTCCTTGATGTCCCTAACTTACAAGAGCACTACACAAATATACAATATTATCATTATTTAAAAAATAAAAGCAATTACATCAATGTTCCTTATGATGACACACTTCCCATTGGTGTACAGAAAGTTGTTTCCTTTCGGATCTCCTCCAATCACCTTTGCCACCCCCCTCTCCATCTGTGGGAGACTGGCAAAAACATGTTCTACAAAGAGAGAAATACACAAGTTCAGTTGTTCTAAATGGAGAAAACAACTTGACCTTTTTTTAGATCTTATACATATTTAGGAAATAGTCAAGTTTCTGCTTTTAAAGTGACATCTCAAGTTCAAATTTTACCTCTTTAATGACCAAACCCAGCCAAGACCAAATTCGGATGAAGTCAAGTATTTTTTAAACCAAAGTGTGACTCAGTGTGTTTACAGTAAGCTTCAAATAAACTCATGTCAGTCGTATAAAATCAAGTACAATTAAATGCTACAATCAAGATTAAGTTCTATACTTGGACCATTTCATTTAAGCTGTTCATGATCTGTGGTAATTCACCTTTTACCAACTAGACAGGCTATTTTTCTTATCGAGATTGTGCAATCATCAGATAAACAAAAGAAAATCTAGTTTTGTTAAAATTTAAAACATTTTTCTTTAATTGCACCCACTTTATGTGACCTTTTCAGACTAAAACCGCATACATTTAACCGGCCACATCTCGTCTGACAGCTTCTGTCTGGACAAGTCACAACAATGCGACGTGAGCACAACTATTTCCTGTTACCTCACCAGGCTAATGCTAACAAAAAACAGTCAATGTAACCCATGAATTCAACGCATAGAAAATGTTTCTAAAGTACGAACGCTGTTCAGACAACTCTACATATTAACCGAGAAAATAAAAACCAGAGCAGCGATTTTGGTGCTTAACAATCAAAAAATCCTGTAGAAAAGGGCGAGGCTAGCTAGCTCCAGAATACCTGAACACCCGCATTTGGTGCCTATTTCTGTTCAAACGTTTAGTTTTATTTGCTTTTTGTAAACTTAGTTATCAACACAATAACACCCAGACTTACTCAGTTCATACGGCATTTTTCCTGCAGGCCTTTTGCTTATCAATACGCTTCCTAATGAATGAAACAGTGGAGACAGAGCCGCTTCTAAGGCTGTGTGCGCTACCCTCCCCAATCACACAAACACGGAAGCGGCCGCAGCTCGAGCTCTGCCTGGCTTTGCCCATATATGGTCTCAGATCACACGCTGTAGCTGTCAGCCAGTAGCCGCGCTCGCTATCAACTGGGATGAATTTTACCTCAATATGGTCTTTCAGGCTTTAGAGTGATTTCATTCATTCCTCAGCTCCACCAATAATAGCAAAAATGTTAAAGTTCGTTAATAGTTACCGTTACCGGAGTCTTGTTTAGGAATTTTACGATATGTTTGCTTTTTGGTTGACAAATGTACATTATTTAGATGTTGGGAAACAAAAAAAAAAAAAAAGAAAAGATAGAATCTGGAGACTTTTCAAGAACAAAAGCATCCATTATAATGATCATGGGAAATTTTTTTAAACGTAGTTCAAAGTGAACTTTCTCTCATTACAGACAGCCGTGAAGCCACCCCTCCATTCGGAAACGAGTGTCAAGCCAGCCCTCCTTCGAATTTTACGGGCGCAACCACAAGAGAAATTACGGTGTCCTCGCTCGAGGGTGCCTTTCAAAATAAAAGCGCACTTGTGTGCGGATAATGTTTCTAAGTGTTACAAGTGTTAAGCATAACGTGTTATGAAAGTCGGGGAGGATGTAGCAATCGATGTGTACTTTAAGACTTAGGTGGACAGTTCTTCAGAAATGCGCCAATGAATATAGTGAAAATTGTCTTTATAGGGCTGCACAGTGGCGCAGTGGTTAGAGCTGCAGCGAGAAGGTCCTGGGTTCGCTTCCCGGCCTGGGGTCTTTCTGCATGGAGTTTGAATGTTCTCCCTGTGCATGCGTGGGTTCTCTCCGGGTACTCCGGTTTCCTCAAAGTGCAAAACCCAGCACGCCACAGTGTGCTACAAATCAGTTTTTAATGCGTATACGATAACTTTTCTGGAAATAATCAGTTTGAATTATTTATTTATTTATTTATTTATTTATTATTTATGTTTTGCCTTTTATATTTTTTTTATCAATTATTATATTTTGTCAATGTTTCATTTGTGTGGTATATGCAGTTTTATCCCACTTTATTTTTGCATTTATATTTATCAACAATAAATAACTGGAACTTCTCTGCTAGAGAACGCAGGCTAGTAAGACTTTGAATTACGAGCGTCTAAATTGTCCTTAGGTGTGAGTGTGTGTGTGTGTGTGTGTGTGTGTGTGTGTGTGTGTGTGTGTGTGTGTGTGTGTGTGTGTGTGTGTGTGTGTGTGTGTGTGTTTGTGTGTGTGTGTGTGTGTGTGTGTGTGTGTTGCCCTGCGATGGACTGGCTCTCTGCCCAGGGTGTACCCCGCCTGTTTGCCCATTAACCGCTGGAGATAGGCACCAGCCCCCCCGCGACCCTACATGGACAAGCGGGTTCAGAAAATGGATGGATGAATTGTCTTCATAGTATATTTTGATTGCACTTCATTTTCAATTCAGATCCTTCTGAACTTTGGGGTGAATGTTGAACTCGATGTGCACTTCTACACTGAAATGGAATGATGTTGCGGAATCACAGTTTTAGTGAAATTAACCTTTGAATATATTGAAAATTGTCATTATTGACTAATTTCATTGCACTTTATTTTGAAATACCACATCAGATCTTTATTAAATATGCGGAGGATGTAGTAGTCAATGTGTACTGTAAGACTGAAGTGGAATGATGTTGCAGAATCAGACAGTTTTTGAGAAAGAAACCATTGAATATAGTGACTATTTTTCACTTTATTTTGAAATGCCACATCAGATCAGGATGAAAGGGAGGGGATGTATAAGAATTGCAAAGTAGACAAATGTGTTAATCCTTTAATTAAAAGGGTTTTTTAATAAAATCATTAAAAACGCAGTTTTATCCTGCACAAAATTTTACCCAAAAATGTTTAAATTGTGTTTATTCTTTAAATTTAAAGTATTTTAAAATGAATAAAATCACTAAAAATGCAGTTTTATCTTGCATACAATTTTACAAAAAAATGTTTAAATCATGTACATTATTTTAATTACACATATTTTAAATAGATCGAATCATTCAAAATGCAGTTTTATTTTTACACAATTTTACACAAACTTAGAAAAAGTATTTATCAGCATGTTCAGGCACAGACATCCTAGAAGTGCGCCTTTATTTTGAAAGGCACTCTCGAGTGAGGACACCTTAATTTCTCTTGTAGTTGCGCCCGTGAAAATCGAAGGAGGGCTGGCTTGGCAATAAAGATTGGCTGAGAGACATAACTCAGGGAATATTAAACAAGATAACAAGACGCTTTCTCATGGTTTAATAGCAGCAGAGAGAATAAACAAATTCATTGCCTAAATAAGTAAATACTGTATATTTCACATGTGTCTCAGATTAACAAACCCAAGTACAGTCTCTTTTTTCTTTTTCATTTATGTAATTTATTGTGTGCGTGCATGCGCATGTGTGTGTGTGTGTGTGTGTGTGTGTGTGTGTGTGTGTGTGTGTGTGTGTGTGTGTGTGTGTGTGTGTGTGTGTGTGTGTGTGTGTGTGTGTGTGTGTGTGTGTGTGTGTGTGTGTGTGTGTTAGTTGAAAACATCACTTGCCTGGAATAGTACTGGGAATCCCCTAACTCATTTGGGACATGCAGTATTGATCTGTAGCAAATATAGTGCCACTGTGCCATTACATCATGGAATTTAAAGATAAAATAGTCGCCAGCAACAATGATGTGAATGATCAAAACCACAAGACATTTGAGCACGCTGAGCATTTGTAATGCAAACCTATAAAATTTGGTTTTGTCATGGAGTCCTGAGAACTGACTTGAGAATTGTCATGTGCCGGAGTGAGTATTCCTCTCATTTTCCCATCTTTGAGTTGTGTGTTTCAGGAGAGGGAGGCTCCAGCTGCAGCTGATTTGCAATCACCGGGTCTGGCTATAAAAGGAGGATGGAGAACACTCCTTGAGGCCGGATGATTACTACAGCTTGGTAGTTTCCTGCCCTCTTGCGACTCTTGGTTTTTGTGCTCTAGTTTTTCTAGGATTTTTTTGTGAACCTTTGGATCTTTTCCCTGTGCTTACCCGTTACCATGTTTTGGAACATTTTTGGACTTCTGTGACTTCTCTGGATAATGTCTCTGGTTTTCTGCGACACCTCTGGATAACGTCTTTGGATTTCTGCGACTCTTCAGGATTACTCGCCTGTGCCCCATAGGATTTCCGGACGCAGCTCTCACCGTTCTCCATTCCTCCCGGCCGGCCCGCTCTCCTGCTCTCCTCTCGCTCCCTCTCCTCGACGCCCCACTTGGATTCACCCCGGCACCCAACCTACCCTCCCTCCTTCCTACGCTTCCCTACTCCCAGTAAGTCTATTCTCTGCACCCACCAAGTTTGGACTTACCTTCCTGGACTCACCTGTATCTGCTCTCCCCTCCTCAGACGCTGCACTCCCGTTCTCGATCTCCACTGGGCTTTTCCAGTGCACCTTCAGTTCCCGTTTTAAAATTAAGATTCTTTTTTACCATACGATCTGTGAGTGTGTGATTCTGCATGTCTTGGGTTAAACGCATTGCCCAAACCATGTCAAGAATCCCCGGTGAGATCCGGGTCAAAGGTCACATCAAGATTCATAACAGAAGCAAGCTGACCTAGAGAGCCTCTGACTTTGGGAACCAGCTTGTATTGGAAACAAATGAGGATCTCAGTCTTATCTTCATTCATTAGTTTAGTTTATTTCAAACAAAGAAAACATACATAATTTAAAAAAAAATACCACAAACAGAAAAAATATGTATCATCCCTTCTTCTGTGTTTGACACAAAAACTAGAGCACAAAAACCAAGAGTCGCAAGAGGGCAGGAAACTACCAAGCTGTAGAAAGTTCCCAGCCATCCAGGTTTTGATAGAGTCTAAGCAGGAGTGTAACAGCTGCAGCTTAGACATCTCATGGGGCTTAAAGGAGATGTACAGTTGGATGCGTTCTGCATAAAAATGGTGGGAGATTCCTTTGAAGGAGCTCAGGATGTGTTGTAGAGGAAGCAGATAGAGGAGGAAGAGCAAAGGCCCCAGCACAAAACCTTGTGGGACACCATGGGTAAGGGGGGTGGTGGATGACCTAAACTTGGAGACGGCCACAGAAAAGGAGCGCTCAGAAAGTTAAGAGGAGAACCACTCCAGAGCAGTTCCTATAGGCCTACCCAGTCTCTCAGCCTCTCCAGTAGCAGGTGATGGTCAACAGTGTCAAAGGCTGCAGTCAGGTCCAGCAGGACCAGAACAGAACAGTCTCCTGCATCACTGTGAGTCAGAAGGTCATTAGAGACCCTAAGAAGAGCTGTTTCAGTAGAATGAGCTCTACAAAAACATGACTGGAAGCTATCATAGATGTTATGTTCATCAAGAGCAGCTGTGCGTTGTATAGCCACAACCTTTTCCAAGATCTTGGATATGAACGGTACTTTAGAGATGGGTCTAAGGCCTAGTGCACACGTAGCCGGGTTTTTTTTAAACGAATATCCGCCCCTCCAAAAACTTGCACCCACACCACCTCGTTTAAAAAAAAAAACTCTGTCCACACGTACCCGGATAAATACGTTGTTAAGGACATGCCAGACCTGTAGGCGGCAGTACTTCCCCCGTTCTTAACCTCGTCCTTCGTCTGTGGTCTTCCGCAAGGAGCAGTAATTCCGCTTGCAAAAACAAACAAGCAAAAAGCGCTTGGACAATTGATAAAGCGAGCTCAGCTCTGAGGGCATCCATGCTGTCGGCTAGTGTAAACACAGGTCGTACACGTGATGTCAGCATTTTTTTGTCACGGAAAGTGACGTTGCGGACCTTAAAACTCCGGTTTTGTCTGTCCACACGCAGACACCCAAAACTGAAAAAACGCAGATCTTTACTTTGGCCGGAGTTTTTAAAAAGATCCGTTTTTGTGTGAAAAAACTCCGTTTTCGTGTGGATGACAGGCCAAAACTTAGAAAAATATCTACGTTTTGGCAGATCCCCGGCTACGTGTGGACAGGGCATGAAGCTGCTATGGAGAGAAGGGTCAAGACTTAGTTATTTAAGAAGCAGGTGGATTACAGCGTTCTTAAAATAAGCAGGGGCTTGAACAAAAAAACAGAGAAGCATTAATCATAGAGAGCATGCTGGGACCGATGGACTGAAAAGCAAGTTTGAACAAAGGAGAGGGTAAGATGTCGAGGGGGCATGTAGAGGTCTTCACAGAGTTAACTAGTTGGTTAGCTTAGACAACGAAACAGGAGCAAAGCTAGAGAGGATGACGGGTCGGGTTATAGTCGTGAGAGGCAGAGATAAGGCTGAAGGAGAGATGTTAGATCTAACCTTATTGACTTTGTCCACAAAGAAAGACAGGAAGTTTTCACAGTCTCCATCAGAGTGAATGGAGGCTGTAGGTCCTCGTCTCAACACTGTGATGAGACATGGGGACTTCCTGGTGCTCTCACTAAAGCACAGAAGCAGCTTGATGAGCAAACAGCTAGAAGAGCTCCAACAGCAGAAAAGTGTTGAGAGCAACAAAAAGAAACATCTGATCTGAGTCACAGAAAACTTACAGACATTGAAAGAGTTGATGAAATCCCTTAAGTGGAAGCTGTTCTGCAGAGGAGAGGGCAGAAACAGCAGAATTCTCTCTGGCCACAAAAGAAGAGGAAAAATCCAGACCTGGACTCACTCTGGAGCAAACAGAACAAGACATGAGACAGAACACAACTCTGGAAGCTCTGGACCCCGACCTGCTGACTCCAGACCCAAAACCTGTGACACCAAAGTTAAAAGTCACCTTGATGGGCTGCATGGGGGTGGGGGGGGGGGGGGGGGGGGGGGCTTCGGTCCCTCCCTAAGCAAACCATAATAAACGTAAATTTATAATTATAAATTATAATAAATATTTTAAATTATAATATTTCAGTGAATATTGACTAAAACAATTCAAATGTGATTAATCAAGATTAATTAATTACAAAGTCTCTAATTAGTTTGATTTTTCTATGGGTTTCACCCCTAAGAAATGCACTCAGAATAAAACATAAACAAAGCAAATAAATCCCATCTGCTGAATCACCACCTTAACGTGGTGGGTGGGTTTGCGTGCCCCCATGATGCTGAAGGCTGGTGGATTGTAGAATTTTCCTTTTTTTAAGGTTGTGGTTGTGACTCCCCATCTGACCTGTAATACTCTATCTGTCCAGCCGGTGGCACTGCTACTTGTAAATCGCTGCATCGAGTCACCACAGAAGAAGACGCAGCTGCTGGATGTCTGGGACGATGGCGGCCACCTTGACAAGAAACTTGGTAACATTGGTGAAGGTGAGGGCGTAAATGGTGTTTACCGGCCAACTGAGGACAGACATCAGTAGAAAATGAGCTTTTGAAGTTGTAGGATAGTAAACTTAAACATTATCCTGGTATCAGCTATGAACGAGACAGTCTAGACTTGTAGCATCTTTAAGTAACCGTGAACTACCGCGATAACACGAGTTACCCACTTGACAGTAGTAACAATTTGTTCCTGAAAGTTTTAACTGTAATAAATGTATTGTTTTTAATAGACGTACGTCAAACAAATCTAATATTGGGTGTCTTTGTAGGCTAGCAAAAGTAGCTTCGGCTTTCTGTTCTGTTATTCACTTATTTGACTAAACTACCAAGTTTACACGTAAAATATATTTGTTTTTGACATTTTTGTTTGATTTTCATCATATCAATGTTCCCATCTGTCAGTCTTGCTGTCACACCCAACCCTCAACATCAGAGGCGTGGTTGATCATAACTTGGGCCAGATGCTGGTGTGAACATAAGCTGTTTTCTTCTCATCTAACATTTTTCTGTGAGGGAACATCAACACTTTACCTTTTCTAAGATCATCTGAGGAACATTGATGTACCCGTATGAAGGAACATAGGAATTGACATTTTTCCCACAAAACTCACTTAACTCCAAACAACTGTGTTGTAAATTACATCAAGTTTAATATGTGTGTCTATTCCTAGACTTAAAGGATAACTATGGCACAAAACAGTTTTGCTCTAAAAAGGATGATCAAGAAGAGGTGATGCATTGCAGTTGTAATGAATGAAGAACTAGTATCAGCTCAAAATGTGTTTTTGACTGTTTGTTGCTGTCCTTTAGGGCCTGGGAGGTTCCCGATGGCCGCAGCTGGTGTCTCGACCCCTGAGTGTGTCTGCAGGTCTCTGTAGCTCAGAGAACCCGCCACCTCGTGCAGATAGTACCTTCAAAGTCACAATGGTTCCAGGGGATGGAGTGGGACCTGAGCTGATGATGGCTGTCAAGGATGTTTTTAAGGTATTCCTGTCAAGGACAGAAATAATGATTACTGCTTTTAGTCTGGTCATGCGTTTACAAAGTTTTCAGGTTCATCGATTGTACAAACAAGTGAATATATTTTAGAGTTCATACTACTGTCTGACACTTTTAACTTCTTGACTTCAGATAATTTTTTCTAGCTTACATTTTTTAAAGATTATTATTTTTCTCTCCATGTGAAGGCAGGTGATATCCCTGTTGAGTTTGACGAGTTCCATTTGAGTGAAGTGCAAAACATGGCCAGCGATGAGAAACTGGAGCAAGTGTTGACTTCAATGAGGAACAACAAAGTAGCTATCAAAGGTAGACTCTTAGTCTTTCTACCCTACATCTGCATCATTTAAATAAAAAAAATGTGGGGTTAAAGTGTGCAACAAACCCTTTTGGCTTATATAAACTGTTGTTGGGATGCAACAGTTAAGTGTTGTTTGGTATTTAGGGAAGATTCACACACCCATGGAGTACAAAGGGGAGCTGGCTTCATTTGAAATGAAACTAAGGTAGATTAAAATAAAATTTGCATAGCTTAAAGTAGCATAAATGTGATAAAATAACTCTTATTTCTCCTTAAATTGCACAGACGCAAACTGGACCTGTTTGCTAATGTGGTTCACGTGAACAGCTTGCCCGGCTACAGCACTCGACACAACAACCTGGACCTCGTCATCATCCGCGAGCAAACGGAGGGGGAGTACAGCTCCCTGGAGCATGAGGTAAATGAATATTAACTAGGGATGAGCGAGTACACCAATATCTGTATCTGTTCAACCAACTAAATTATCTGTATCTGTACTCGGAATGGGCGTGGCATAACCCAGAAGTGGGCATGGTTTAACCGTAAGTGGGTGTGGTTTACATCAAAATATTATTTTAAGTCTGAAATTGATATGGATTGATCAGAAGTTGCTATGTGTGTTGTTTACTTGAAAACTATTTACAGAGCAGCCTCAGAATTGAGATTGAATATTTTTGATCACAATAATAAAGGAACTATTACAGAACAAGTGTTTCAATAAAATCAGAACATTAATATGTGCATGGATTAATACATCTGAACTCATGCAGTAGGAACTAGGAAATATGAAATGCTAGAACCAGACACAACTTTATATATATTTTTATTTTTATTTGATTAAGCTGATTTTTTTCTTAACGTTCTTGGCATTTTCCCACACAAAGTTAAACAAAACAATGCTGATTAAGGTGTGTGTGCCTGAGAGAGATAGAGAGGGAGAGAGAGGGAGTTAAAAAAAAAATAAAAAACCCGACCGGAGCGGAGGTGGTGACTGACGCAGCACGTCAGCTCTGTCTTGTCAAATGCACCATGTAAGTTACGAAAAAAGTAACTTTAAATATTCAACCGAAAAAGAGGCGAGTTGAAGAAAACCTAGGGAAAACTGAAGAAACGTGAGCAACAGTGAAGCAATAGCAGCAAGATCCGTTATGGTCTGTGTGTGTGCGTGGATGAACCGGACGGACTGCGCTCCCAGCCAGCTGCAGAGTTTTGTGTGTAGGGAGGGGCGGGCGCTCAATGTGACTGGCCAATCACAGAGCGTGAAGCCAGTCAGTTACCCAATGAGGATTTTCCTTCAGCACGATTACAGATATTTACGAGTTTTACTCGTTTCATGCTTGTATTCGTCAAAAATGCTTTATCCGTACCGGATACTCGTCTGATACGAGTATCCGGCTCATCCCTACTATTAACCATTAACTGGTACAGGAGAATCTGCAAGCATGAAAATGTTAAATGTGGAAGCTGCATAATATTATCAAGACCCCAACGTGTTTGCTTTTTGCAGGGCGTCATACTTACATTATACTTACATTCATGTTTTCCACTTCAAGCATTTGTGTGAAAACAACCCTCCTCTCTGTACAGAGTGTGACAGGTGTGATTGAATGCTTGAAGATTATCACCAGAGAGAAGTCACGACGCATCGCCAAGTTTGCCTTCGACTACGCCACCAAGAAGGGCCGAAACAAGGTCACAGCTGTTCACAAAGCAAATATCATGTAAGTGTATGAGCTGGAAATCCTCGTCTTTGTTCTTCCTCACGTTAGATCTTGTCGTTGTTTATTCATTTTTTAAGCTTTCAATGTGATGGTTTGCAACATCTGTCCACGTGTCATTGCAGGAAGTTAGGAGATGGCCTGTTTCTGCAGAGTTGTGCCGAGGTGGCTCAGCTGTATCCCAAAATCAAATACGAGAACATCATAATTGATAACTGCTGTATGCAGGTATTTTTAGTCACAGTTTATTTCCTTTATATATATTTGATTATTAAAATTAATAATCATCTTGTTCCTCATTCAAAAAGTGGAAGTTGTACATATTTTATAACATGTACTGTCTGTGTGTCTTTGCTACAGCTGGTCCAAAATCCCTACCAGTTTGACGTACTGGTGATGCCCAACCTGTACGGAAACATCATCGATAATTTAGCAGCAGGACTCGTCGGAGGAGCGGGAGTTGTTCCAGGAGAAAGTTACAGCGCTGAATATGCTGTTTTTGAGACTGTAGGTTACATTTATGACATTTTTGTTTCTTCTCCCTCTCAGGGTTTATGTCTTCTTTTATGTGTTTATTCTCATTTAAATACAGGAAAGTTGAATGATTTTAACTTATAACAATCGTGTGTTGTGTATAGTGCTATCACCAGGTTGAAAGCTGTTAAACCCTTTTCTTTTCATCACTCACATTGTTTCATCCGTTTTTCAGGGAGCACGGCACCCTTTTGCCCAAGCTGTAGGAAGGAACATCGCCAATCCTACAGCTATGCTGCTCAGTGCTGCTAATATGCTTCGACACCTCAAGTGCGTTAGCCGCATTAAACGTTTACCGACAGCACATGAAACATCCCATGCTGTGTTTATCAAGCATTCATTACTTTGTCTTGTTTCAGTCTGGAGTACCACTCCCAAATGGTTTCAGATGCTGTCAAGAGGGTCGTCAAACAGGGAAAGGTAAGTGTGTGTAAGCACTGACGAGGAGACTGCTACTGACACAAACATGCTAACATACTAATAGTATTAACACCCAACAGGGCAGATTTCACCACTATTAGAACAAATGACTAACTGCTTGTTCTGCTGATGTGCCCACATGAATTGCATATCCTTATATGTTTGGTTTTGCAGCTTCTTAACCGAAAACCTCATGCTAGCAGTGGGCGTTTCCTGGATATTCCAGGCCCTTTGTCAATAAATACATTTATCATTGTAGTTAACAAGTGTGAGGCTTTAATTTTGATCAGTCAAATAAAATCAGTGACATCAGCTGTTAAAGTGGCAATTGTTGGCCTGTAAATGTCATTCTAACGCCCTACTTCCCTAAAGTGTGTTGGAGAACCTTTCACATCGACTTGAACCCACCTGCGTGAACTCATCTGATCTGTTTGTTTGTTTTTTTTTTTTGTTCTATAATGTCCAGCTTTTACACGTTTCATCTCTTGGATGTTTTTGTCATTTGAATTGAGTTTATTTACTCACCCATGTCATTCACAAACAAAAGCATGAAGTTAATGAACCTTCATCCCCATACTGACCCCTCCCCCCCAGTTGTGTGTCAGCTGACAACAGAAATCGTCTGCACACAATCTAAAATCTCCTCTTCCTGTCCTTTAAATCCCTCCTCTCCTTGTACCTTTTTACCTTGTGCGTGTTTGTTTTGTATATGTGTGTGTGTGTGTGTATGTGTGTGTACATCCCAGGTGCGGACACGAGACCTTGGCGGTTACTCTACCACTGGTGACTTAGTGAATGCGGTTGTGGACAACCTGCGTCACAAACCTGTTCATTAGGACGTTTCATCCCACTCCTCACTGGCGCCGCCTTAAATCTGGACTCTGATCTTAACATGACCCAAACACATGTTAAGATGAAACACCCCTCCTCTACATTGAGTGATATCTGTGACATCCTTTTGTTTATACTGGACCTGCCGATAGATCTGGTGGAAGAAGGTGGTTTTTTTGAAAAAGAAAAAAAAAAACAAGTGAAAGTTCTCCACACAGCCTAGTTTTGTCCCACCCCCATCTGCATTCCTTTATTTTGTTTCTCAGGTTTCACTTTTAAGATCCTCATTTCACTGCCGCTGGGGGACTTTTTCCAGTGATGGTTCAGTTTTTTCTCCCCAGACTTCTGGTCAGAATGATCTCAGTTTGGACGCTAGTGTAGTTATACTAATGGATGAGCTGATCAGCTCAACTGTTAAAAGGAAATTTACAGTTCAGTGTTTTATGTTGCATCACTTTTACACCGTTATGACTTTCTAAGGTATTTTGACCAAACAGCATCCTCGCTACATACATGATGACATACTCTGCCTCTAATCAGCTGTGCATCATCTTAGGGTTCTTTTTTACTTTTCCAAAGGTTTAATGTGTGTGTGTGTGTGTGTGTGGTTTTTCAGTATATTTCTCTTTTTTTAAATCCGTTTTTGTTTGAATGCAGTTTGATTGTTTTTTGATGCAAAGCCATAAATTAAATATTAGTTCAACATAAATAAAAAGTTTTTTAGATCATTTTGCATGTCAGAAAGCCCTTCTTATTCTCCAGATCTACGCTGTGCTGACGGCAAGTAAAACACTGATCTAACTACAAGTTCTACCTTTTACACACTGTTAAAAACGCGCCGCCCTGGTCATTTCATCGGTTTACGTACTTTTGTTCAACGTTGACTAAATCAAAGTTTTATACTTTCTAAAATTTCAACTAAATGTTTTTGTTTTAAGTTAAAACCCAGCACATGGTTCAAATCAGTGCTGAGATTTACTGTTAAAGCATTTCTGTCATTTATCATTGCCGGTCTGTCTGGTTCTTCTAAAGCCAGTTCACGGTTAGATGATCTGGCTACTTGTGCATCTAGATTAGATTTCTACAGATTCTCATCTTCAATGCTCATGTAAAAGAGTGACGACAGGACACTGAAATCCTCTGCCTTATGAAAAGCTTCAGTGCACCTGACCCAGACTGGTATGAATAGAACCTGCATTCAGAGTTCCCTTCAACTCACACATCCAGTTTCCATGAATCTGACCTAAAATGCAGCATCCGTGTTCTTGTTATTGACTAAAACAACTGTCATGTGTTAAAAAAATGTTGAAATACATTTTTGAGCAATTCAAGGAAACAGTTTAAATTTTCATGGTGGATTTGTCAAACTGTTTGTCTTCATAATATATTAAAGGCGACATATTCTGCTTAACACACCTTTTGCATCTATTTGTGCTGCCACGTGGGTCTCTATTGCTTCTACAGGTGCTGGCCAGTAAATTAGAATATCATCAAAAGGTTGAAAATATTTCAGTAATTCCATTCAAAACGTGAAACTTGTACATTATATTCATGCAATGCACACAGACCAATGTATTTCCAATGTTCATTACATTTAAATTTGATATTTATAGGTGACAACCAATGAAAACATCAAATCTGGTATCTCAGAAAATTAGAATATTCTAAAGGCCAATGAAAAAATGTTTGTTTCTCTAATGTTGGCCAACTGAAAAGAATGAACATGAAAAGAATGTGCATGTATAGCACTCAATACTTAGTCGGGGCTCCTTTTGCCTCAATAACTGCAGTAATGCGGCGTGGCATGGACTCAATCAGTCTGTGGCACTGCTCAGGTGTTATGAGAGCCCAGGTTGCTCTGATAGTCGTCTTCAGCTCCTCTGCATTGTTGGGTCTAGCGTATTGCATCCTCCGCTTCACAATACCCCATAGATTTTCTATGGGGTTAAGGTCAGGCGAGTTTGCTGGCCAATCAAGGACAGGGATACCATGGTCCTTGAACCAGGTGCTGGTGGTTTTGGCACTGTGTGCAGGTGCCAAGTCCTGTTGAAAGGTGAAGTCTGCATCCCCATAAAGTTGGTCAGCAGCAGGAAGCATGAAGTGCTCTAAAACTTCCTGGTAGACGGCTGCATTGACCCTGGACCTCAGGAAACAGAGTGGGCCAACACCGGCAGATGACATGGCACCCCACACCATCACTGACGGTGGAAACTTTACACTGGACCTCATGCAACGTGGATTCTGTGCTTCTCCGCTCTTCCTCCAGACTCTGGGTCCTTGATTTCCAAAGGAAATGCAGAACTTGCTTTCATCAGAAAACATAACTTTGGACCACTCAGCATCAGTCCAGTCCTTTTTGTCCTTGGCCCAGGCGAGACGCTTCTTGCGCTGTTTCTTGTTCAAGAGTGGCTTGACACACAGAATGCGACACCTGAATCCCATGTCTTTCATGAGTCTCCTCGTGGTGGTTCTTGAAGCGCTGACTCCAGCTGCAGTCCACTCTTTGTGGATCTCCCCCACATTTTTGAATGGGTTTGTCGTCACAATTCTCTGCAGGGTGCGGTTATCCCTAGAGCTTGTACACTTTTTTCTACCACATTTTTTCCGTCCCTTCGCCTGTCTGTTAATGTGCTTGGACACAGAGCTCTGCGAACAGCCAGCTTCTTTAGCAATCACCTTTTGTGTCTTGCCCTCCTTGTGCAAGGTGTCAATGATTGTCTTTTGGACAGCTGTTAAGTCAGAAGTCTTTCCCATGATTGTGGTGCCTTCAAAACAAGACTGAGGGACCTTTTAAAGGCCTTTGCAGGTGTTTTGAGTAAATCAGCTGATTAGAGTGGCAGCAGGTGTCTTCTATATTCAGCCTTTTCAGAATATTCTAATTTTTTGAGATACCAAATTTGGAGTTTTCATTAGTTGTCACTTATGAATATCAAATTTAAATGTAATGAACATTGGAAATACATTGGTCTGTGTGCATTGCATGAATATAATGTACAAGTTTCACGTTTTGAATGGAATTACTGAAATATTTTCAACCTTTTGATGATATTCTAATTTACTGGCCAGCACCTGTATAAACACTAAATATTTAGAAAATAAACTATCCTGCCATTTTCTGTCTGTTTTGAGGAATTATGTGCCTAAAAAGAGCCATTTCAAAAATGTGTGGTTTGTGACATCACAAACAGGGAGATTTGAATATGCAGTAGAGAGCTAGTGCTGGTAGGGGAGTGGCTGTACTCCGAGCCCCTCTTGGATATTGGAGCTGCTTAGCTTATAGCAGCCTGAGCGAGGATGGGTGGGCGTGGCCAGTTTCAGCTTGTTTTCATAATGTATCCCAATGCCCTGGAATGGCTCTTTCTGGAAAGTACTGAAAAGAATAAAATGGCTGAAATTGTTTTATTTTAGAGGAATTTAGTGTTAAAAATTCAGAAACATGTTTTGAATAGACCATGGATAAAAAAAAACATGTCTCCTTTAAAGCCCAGCTCGGGTCTGCATTAACTGTTGGTTTTGTAATGATATATGTGATCACCTTTTTAAAACGGTATAAAACACCTAACGTAACTGCGTTGTTTTAACTTTTTGTATGGGCATTACGGAGACAACTTGCCACCACCAGTGCCTAGCTCGGGACCCCACTGCAGAACCTGAAAGTTGGAGGTCTTGAGATCTTCAGAAATTAAATAAAATGTTAAACATTTTTCTATAATTGTTAAAAGAAAAGAAATAGTAAATGACCCAAAGTTGTTGTGTGTTTATGTCCTGCTTTCATTGGCTGAAAAGTTTGCAAAACACTGAATGACTGAATTCAGTGTCTGAAGTGCTGAATAACGTGTTCCCATATCAGTAAGAAAATGTTCAATTAAAATCTTATAACAATACATGTCTGACACGATTATCTCCATAGGGGAGCATCTCTCATCGACTCCTCGGTGCTGGCTTTGTGTGCAGAGTTTCCAAAGACTCTCTTAACATGCTGTATGTGGACATGTGTTGCAGCAGCTGTGCATATAGTAACACGCTGTCCTTATGTTTGCAACAGGTGCGCACTGGAGACCTGGGAGGCTATGCAACAAGTGATGAATTCACGCAGGCTGTCATTGCGAACCTGGCTGTCTAAGCTTAGTAAATGCAGATCTGTCAGCTGCAGACACCTACACTTCCTTTTTTATTTATTTACTTCCTGTCACACACTCAGCCATCTCTTAGTAATGTAATTCAGCAGGTTTTCCTCCATGCATGCAGGAAATGCTTTCAATGTGTTTAATGGGAAAAACTGGATTAAACGTGAAGTTTCTGAACAGTTTCCACATTGCTGTTTTTATCTAATAAAAGTCTGCCTAATGGTTTTATTTTAGGAGATTAAACACTTATTATTTATTAACCCCAATCTTTAGCACATTACTTCATTCATGAGGTGTTGTGAATGATAAATGGGTTCTAACTGCTTGTGTGTGGAAGGATTTAATGGGAGACTGATGCAGTATTTAGAGTTATTAAAAGTTGATCACCAGTGCTGGTGTTTGAGTCAGTATCTATCACCTTAGACTAGCTCACATCTTGACTGCTCCCTCGTCTCCAGACCCAGATCAGGATAGGAAGGAGAAGCTACAACACTGAAGAAGTTGTGTCACACAAATGATGGACAAATGTTCTGTGTGTGATTTTTACGAAAGGGCAGCTAGATTTCGAACCACAAAAAATGTCAATATATTGATTTATTTTTGCTTTTTTTACGCAAACCACTAAGCTACATCAAAGTGTGTTCATACTGCTGTTGCTTATTGCGATATTGGGATTTATATCACAAATATGTTTTTAAAAATTACTATTTTCTTTTATTATAAATACTGCTCTTTTACTTTTCAGTGACATTTAGGGAAGTTTTTTAGTTTAAAAAAATAAATAAAATAAATGAATACAAGTTCTCTGTACAAACAGTGGCGCCTCCAAGAAAACAGATTTAATTTGAGTTTAGTATTTTGGAAACATTGTTTTTAAATAAATTAGAATAAAGGCCACCTTCAAATGGTCCCAAAAATTTCTGGGGGCGCCCCTGTGTGCAAGCGTGAGGTTCTTTGGCGTTTGTTCGGACCGCTGCAGTGTAGATCACAGCTCCGCCGGCAGATGTCGCTGTTTGTTATGGGGATTTGAGTCGAAGAGGAGTCTGGGCCTGGCCTGGGAATTTTTTTGCTGCTTCCCATTCTTCCTATGCAGACGCACAACATGGCGGATTAGAAGAGTCGGCCGACGCGCCCGGAAACACGATAAACTGTGGGGGTTATCATCCAAAGAGGCAATCAAAAAGCCCCTCCGCCTGGACGTCAAACAAGAGCGAGTTGCCTCGTTTCTCCGGGAGTGCCTTCGTTTTCTCTGGATGTAAGAGAAGGAAGAGACTGCGAAGTGTTGGCAGTGTGTCCCAGGTTGTGCTTCCCTCCTCCGCTATCACCCAGATCCCCCCACCCCGCTCACACTCTCGGTTCCTGGGGTGTGGAGACTGGGGCCGGGGCTGAAAAAAAACGTGGAGGAGAAAAAAGCGGATAAATCCCAAATTAGCAACAATTTCTCACTTCACGTGCTTCCTTAGTGCGCCACAGGAGTTGTGGTAAGTTTATGTTTGTTTTGTTTTTGTTGCGCAAAGCCCGAATCACTTGTTACAACGTCGTAGAGCATGTTTCCTCTTGATGTAGCGGCTGTGCGCCCCCATAAATGGGCTCTGGGTTTTGTAGCCCCGCTAGCTGCACAGGAACAGCGAGCAGGTTTTTAGTTTAAACCATTAAACGTTTGGGAAGTAGCTCTGAGGCAGGGAGGGAAACGTAGGCAAAGAGGGCTTTCAGAAAAATGAGGGGGGTCAAAACTATGAGTGCGGCACATTAAAAGCCAGGAGTGGGATTGTTGTGGCGACACGAATGCGGCTGGCGCTGGAACAAACAAAGAGGGGTCCCTGGACTGCCTGACTGCAAAGTCCGCTGTTCTGATCAATGCTTTGTTATTATTTCACGATCAGCGGGAGGGAGGGGTGCTGGCTGGGTTCGTGGGTGGAGGAGCTGTCTGGGTCTTCATCGTGAATTAGGTCGCCCTAAAAATCGTGTATCCTCTTTCAAATCACAGCAGCTGCTGCTTTCTTCCTCCAGCCCTTCCCTTCAGTCACAACCTCTCCCAAAGTTTCTGCGAGGATCAACATCCTCCTCCTGGAGACACTTTTCTACTTTAGTTACTTTGTCCCAACTTAGATTGTGAGCTGCTGTCATGAATTGTTATTTAAAAAAAAATCTTGTTTGACGTGGAAAACTGAGGAAAGTTAGATAAAAGTTCATCCAAAGCACTATTCGTGGTTCAGTTGTGTTGAGAACAGTCAACATCTGGCCAGCTGTGGATTTAATATTTATGCATACTCAGTTTAGAGAAACACAGATTAGTTCTGACTGGACAGATCATCTAACAGCTATTCACACTGGGACCAGTTACAAAGTAGATTTCGGTCATTTTTACATAATTTAAATCTAAATCATATAAAAGTTTGTGTGAAGGCTCATTTACTCAATGGCTGTGTCCAAATCCAAGGACTGCTTCTTTCCCATTACACATTTGACTGTCGATTACGTCACAGTGAAGCAACAAGGTGGTCCAAATTCATAGAATGAACAAAGGATGTTTCTCATTGTCAAAGCACCTTGCTTATGAGGACACTGTCCTTCTTTGGTCAAAGATAACGGTTAAATGGAACAGACTTGCCTCACGTGACGTGACACGTGAGGCAAAGTTAGAAATTATCTGTATAAGTTTCAATGTAAACGTATAACGAGCCTTTTACATTTTTAAATTGTGTACATATTGGTTACATCAAATATGGAAACGTTAGATCCTGCCCCCGAAGTAGCTGTTGGCTCCTGATCCGCCATCCTTTTGAAAATACCATGCTGCATTCTGGAAAAAAAATTTGACCAAGACCTGGCTACAAGACACGTCCTTGGTCCGCTAGCTAAACGGCTAACAAACTGAGAACAGATGCCTGGGTAGCACATGAACATTGGAACACGCCATGGCGGTTCCTGAAGACGTATCCCCTAGGCAACCAGGGCGGGACCAAGACATCGAGGCCAGATTCATTGACATTGAGAAACACCTAATATGTGTTCTCATTTGCCCAGAATTTGGAGGACGGTTCTGGTGTATTTTCGTTGGCAAAGGTTATTTCAGGATTCATTATGACGCAAACTGGAGATCTTTGTTTTAGAAATAATGGCGAACAAAGCGGGTAAGAAGCACAGCTTTAAATGTTAATATAGTAATATCTAGTGGTAAAAAATTCCTAAAACTTAAAGAGACAATCAGTAGTATTTACGTTTAGTCTGTGGAAATATCCATCAAAATATTGTTGGAAATGAATAAAATGATGTTGAAAAATATTGGCAGCTTCTTACCATTTAACAATAAAAATCATGTCTAAAGTATATAAGGTGCTGGTCTAGCCTCTTTGGGGGACGCCATGTTTCCTTCTGGCTAGCTTGGGGTCCTGTGCCTGTTGATGACGAGGATCACTGGCTGAACATACAACTTTTAGAAGTAATGTTACCATTTGGGCAGTAAGAAACACAAATTTACTCACAAAACTTCTAAACTTTTTCCAAAACATACATAAAAAAACAGATTTGAAAAAGAGATGCAATATATTTTGTCCGAGTGGTATTGCCATAGTATGATGACCTCATCGGCAGGCGCAAGCCTCAAGCAGGTCTGGACAGGAAATACGCTGACGGGATGAGAAATATGCTGAGGTAGGAGCGGGAATAATTATGAAGGCAAAAACTTGCCACTCACTCCTGGTCTGAGCAGTCGACGGAAGACCTGACTTGTGTGGACCATGTAGGACGAGTCCTCATGAGAATACTACCCCAGCATTTGGACACAGCCTATCTTAATCCGTAGCACTGATGATTATTTCACGGCGCACAATCATTCTGGCCAGAGCATCCGTTCTCACTATGAATGAGAGATTTTCCACAGATTTTTGATGTTAAATACCCTCATGTGGCAAAATATGTCTACGAAACAGTTAATCGCCAACTGCTATGTAATTATTTTAAATAGCAATTTTATTTTATAGCAGAAATCTGCTTTTGAGCTGGCCCCAAAGCGACTAGCTGTTAGCTTGTCAGTATGGTCAAATCTTCTTCCAGCTGCAGTTGATCAAAGAGCTATCTACAGCAGGTAAGATACTAATTGTTCGTGGTTTTTTTTCCATAACAACCCACTTCTGAAGCTTTAAACGATAAAAGCACCAGATCGAATGAGCAGAGTAGAGCGTCTTCATCCTGAGGAATCTGGGTTGTCGTATCTGCTCCCTGGAGCTTCTCACATCTGGTTTGACTCAGAAATCCGCAGCTCATTTACACCACTCCTTCCTCTGTGTGCTCTTCCACATCAGCCTCACTGAGGTCATGTCATGTTAGTGCTACCCAGGGCTGCCGTGACCTCTGCTTGTCAGGCCCGAAAACACTCGCTTCTTTGCAAGAAAAGAAAAGTTGTTGCACCATCTCCGGTTGTCAAGCCGCACCGTGTCATCAGAGCTGAAGCACGGAGGAGAATAAAGCACATCTTGACCATATGACAGAGGAAAGCAGAGCTGTTATCATCTCTCTGTGTCTCCTGGAAGCTATTTTAAGAGAACTGAGTTATTTCAGACATTGGGAGGCAGAGAGGGTTTCAGCAGAGTGATCTTCACACCGTGTTTTTGAAATGAATGATTGTCCCAGTTTCCCAAAATAAACGACGCTTTAAATTGTCATGTGGGAACTCTTAAGGAGGTGTCATTGGGTGGATTACCTCAGAGTTGTGAAGTTTCACAATTTCAGAGCTCGGCAGAATATTATGAGTTGGCTCTTTGGGTGGTTTTGTTTCCACCTGTAGGGCCCGCGTGTTTTAATGTGAAAGAAGTCTGCAATTCAGTCTGACAGGATTAACACCGCTAGAGGATTAGGAAGCAGTCATTTCACAAAACCAGGAATGTGCAATTAATTTGAGACAGAAATTAAATAAAATATTTCTGTCATTTATTGGTGGTAATAGAAACGGGTTGTAACTTTTTATCCTATTCAAAAAGTCTCCAAGTCAAGGCCAAACTTTTACCTCAGAGTTGTGAAGTTTCACAATTTCAGAGCTCGGCAGAATATTATGAGTTGGCTCTTTGGGTGGTTTTGTTTCCACCTGTAGGGCCCGCGTGTTTTAATGTGAAAGAAGTCTGCAATTCAGTCTGACAGGATTAACACCGCTAGAGGATTAGGAAGCAGTCATTTCACAAAACCAGGAATGTGCAATTAATTTGAGACAGAAATTAAATAAAATATTTCTGTCATTTATTGGTGGTAATAGAAACGGGTTGTAACTTTTTATCCTATTCAAAAAGTCTCCAAGTCAAGGCCAAACTTGGGTAGGGTTCAGAACTTTTGAGAGCCATAGTTGTAAACATTTATATCTGCCCCTGGCATCAGTAAACCGTCAAGGCCGTCTTCAACTCTTTTATTTTATTTTAGTTTTTTTTTTAAACCCAGTGAGTATGTAAGAAGGCTTTAAAAGCATCATTGATGAATGTAGGGGAAGGGAGGGGACTAAAACAAACCTCTTGTCTTGTTGATGAATGGTTCTGAGGAAGAGAAGGGTACAGTGGGATGGCCATTGCCGAAATCCTTTGCTTCTTCTTGTAGCAGAAACGAAATGACCGCAGCAACCTCGATGATATGATCAGCATCTCTGTGTGCCCTTTCAAAACTCTAGCTGATGGGGATGATAAGAATTTTACTTAATACTCCACAATATAATTTGTATAATTTCATCATATTTCATCATCTTGATCAAGATGATTCAATATGGATTGGTTCATTATTTGCTTCCTGACAAAAATGAGTCATTGTTGGATTAAATTAAGCAAATGAGTAACAGTCCCCATTTGAAAAAATTTCTGCGGTGATTCATGTTTCGAGATTCTGCCAAACTGATGTGTGAACAGTTCTTGTCCAACCTTCTGATCTGATAACAACTTTGTTCTGAGCTCAATTTTTTTAAAAGAATGACCTGGTGAGGTGACGGTACAAAATATATTTCACTTCTTGTTTGGCTACCTCGGACTTAATCATCTAAAATAGATTTTGACTAAAAGAAAAAAGAGAGATTGCTGCCAAACTTGCTCAAGATTTTATTTTTTTGCCAACTACCAAAATTGCGGACAACAAATGTAATAATCAATGTCAGTGATATTTTATTTAAGCTTTGTTTATCTTTCAAAGCTGGCGCTGTATCTTCTACTGCTTCATCTGCCTTTCTGTCCTTGACTCACTTGCACAGTGGCGTTCCGACTCAGTAGTGGCGTCACCGGGAAAGCCCAAACAACAGTATCACAGCAAGCTGGAAAAAGATCCAAAGTTTTAGAGCATTTTAGGAAAATTCAAGAAAAGCACGCACAAAATCTACAAGGTAGAACTTGTCTTCCATGGCAGAATGATGTTGATACACAGGCATCTTAAAAGAAGCACGTTGTGGCTGTTGACAAAGAGGTACAGTCACCTTTGTAAGCTAATTAGCTAGTTAGCTGCTAACATCAATGAAGTA